ACGAAAATGTAAAGAATTTTTTAGATTAAGTTATGATTAATGTACATATGTGATAAAAAATTAAAGTCGATACGATGCCTACCAGTGTGCATCTGCGGTTTACTAGGGATCAGTTACACTAAAAAACATATAATAGTGCTAGTGCGGCCGAATTAGTCGAGCGTCTACAGACACATCCTAAGGAATTGCACATTTACGATTCATTATTCAATAAAAACAATATATATATATGTATGTACATTGAAAATAATTTGTAGTTTCTATCCTCTACGTTTTATATCAGAACCGGTGACTTGTTATAGATCCATTATAATATATAGACAAAAAATCTAATCATTAGATAATCCAGAAGAGGATACAAATGGAATATAGGCACTATTCAGTCTAGAATTAGAGATTACTTGAAGTATTTACCTCTAAGTTCCTCCCGCGGAGGAACTTTACCCAGACACACTTTCATGGAGGGAGGGGGCAGCTCTCCCCGTAGACTTCTAAACTCTCCCCGTGTGTTAAATTGAAATATTTTTTGTTAATATAATTTATATTTTGAAAGAAAAAAAAATAGAAAATAGTTCGAACTTTTTAAATATAAATGTAATTCAAATTTAATTTTAGATATATAGTAGCCACAGATTAAAATATATTTTGATATATAATAATATATTTAAAAATCATAACTTCTGAATTATAATAATCTACTTGCTCTGTTATTTTGGTCTAGATCCAGGATCCTTCAAATAATCTCAGAAGTGTTACCATCAAAATATTGATTAAAGGTATTAATAGTTCTAAAATAATATAAATATATACCTTACATTTTGATTAAGTCCGTATGAAAAAATAATGCGATACGTCAAGTATGATTAATAATTAGTAGGGCTAGGATTTATATTCAATAAAAATACTTATATATGCATTATATTTATCAAAATATGCAAAAAAATTTTTTATTATTTCTAGAATTATTATTTATCATAACTTGTTTTTATTACGTTAAATATTAGTTTATACTAATATAGTTTATAAGTCGTACAAACGAAATGAAATACTTCTGTACCGTCTCACAATATAAGCACTAGATACCTGCATGGGCCAGGCCCTTAAAATTTTAATCTAGGCCGAACCGGACTTTTAAATTTTTTAATCTATTACGGTCAGGGCCAGGTTTTTTCAGAATGTACAAAAATTTCTACAAAAATTAAACTTTAGTGATAAAACATTCATTAGGGTCGAGCCGGGCTTTGAAAAATATCTTTAAGGCTTTAAACCCGTTTCACATCCGACCATTCATATTAAACATTTTTCAACTTATTTGCGCTAATCGCAAAAACCCAAACGCGTCTTCGTCATTTCGGCGCGTATAAATTTAATTAATGTAATTCGAAAACGTCGCGGACGATACGCGCAACTGTGAAACGGGCCTTATACGTCAGCAGAAAACCCTGGTCGGTCAGAGCAGACCACTAATAAGTACGTCGTTAAAAAATGTGTGGATAATTATATCGATCTTCCTACCAAAATAAGATTATATATGTAGTATATTTACGATGATTCGAAAAAATAAAATTCATTAAATTAATACTTTTTAAAATTAACAAGATTCTCAAATATTTATAAATATGCTATTATATGCAAAAAAAATGGTTCTACTTAATCGATAATAAGCTAAATCATGGATATACTGAAAACCAATCAATTTGGACTTAAGGAAAAAAACATGAAAATGCATATAAATCCTAGCCCTACTAATTAGGTTTATATTTATAACACATTTAAATTTCGACAAATAATGTCAGGCGTCGATCAATAAATATATATTTATTTATATTATATTAATTATATAATAATAATTGTAAAATTATCAACATTAATAAAAAATAGTACTAATAATATTGAATAATAATTAATAATAAAATCAAATGTTGTCACACTTGCGAGTGTAAATAATAATACACACGTTAATGTATTCATAAAATAAAGCTAATACGCGGTAATGTTAGGAATACAATTATTTCCCTCTAAAACACGATGGCGTAATGATAAAAATGGAAAATTCAAATTTTGGTAAGCCTAGATGTTATCTTATCAATCCATAAATGATAACAAAGGAATAATAATAATTTTAATAATATTATTATTATAAGCAACGATGATAAAATGATAAATCGCAGCACACACAACGGCACTAATAACTACTGCTATTAAGTAGTGCACTGTTAATGCATCAGCAATTCAAGGTAAAGAGTATCTGTCCCTGGTTAGGTTAGGCACGTACAAGAAAAAATGTGAAAGATGATTTCGGTGATTTCAGGATTACGCTGACCGGCTGCGACACCTCACGGTTTACTGTTTAGTTGTTGTTGTTTGCTTTTCGCGACTGTTGTTGTCGCCGTAGAAGGGAACACGACATATGCTTTCGGTTTCTCGCATCAGACACCACATCCGGCGATTCACACCGGACACGAACACGGGAGCAGCAGCTCGTTCCGCATACACGCACACGCGACGACGACGACTGCTACCACCACTATTCACGATCCGGGAGAAAACGGAAAAAGAGAGAGAGAAACTAGTAGGTTTAGAAAACCGAAGAATAAAAAAAGAGAATAATTTAACTTAAAAGCGTGCACCGCCGACAGGACAGTGAAGACGACAGGTGTACATAGTTATTTTCACGCGTATAATGAATTGGCCGGAGTAGCAGCAAGTCGCCCGAATGGCATTAGTAAAGAACGAGAACCGAAATCCAGTTGCAGCCGTCGCCGCCGATGGTGTCCCCCGTAGCCCCTTCGACGAAAAATTCCCTACCACGATCACCACTGCCCGTTCACTCCACCGCCCGCTGGCCACCTTATTCGCCGATGACGACTGCTACAAATCTCCTCTGCGGTCGCCAACGCCGTTCTACATTTATGCGCGCCGCCACATCCGAAACACCAATATTTAGGTCACCTTCACACGCGCAAAGTGGAAGAAAAAATACAAGCTCGTTAATCTACGTCCCTTACGGTGTGACGATTACTCATTATAAGATACCGTTATATATATGATAAATATGTACAAACGCATATAAACGTATTCATTTAAATATATACATAGATGTATGTGATATTATAAAATAACGTTTTTATATTGGCATGAAGCTGTCAGTCGAATAAGAACAGGGCACCAAAAATTATAACAGCAACAAATGTAGAATGAAAATTAAATTAAAATAAATCACTTCTTGTTGGATAGGAAAAATAAAAGTACTACGTTACCTTTAAGACGTGGTCGGTATCCGTTTCAGACGAAGTCTGGACAGTCCAAAGTCACTGCGGAGTGACGACGACGACAAGCAATGCGGCACACTCACCGTGACCGGACGAGGGCGGGAAGGAGGAGGCGGCGGCAGCGGTGTGTCGTCACTGTCGTGCGGCGGGGCCCCTTACATAACTGGCCCACGTCCAAAGTCGGCCATTTGCACGAGCATGGATATCAAGCAACGGTAACGGGCTAGGGTGTACACGGGGATGACGGCGGACCTTGCCCGTGGAGTGTACGGCTTACGAACCGGACGGCAGAGGCAGCAGCAGCTACAGGAGCACCCACAAGTTTGGATATCCAGCGCTGGCAACGGTACGGCGAGGTATCGGGTTCAGACGGCAAGTGAATACATCTGTCTGGTCATCATTGTATAACACAAGTGCGCGGATCACCGAAGATCTGCACACATGACAGCCCGTGAAGTCGCGAAACCGAGTGACATATTACTACCGAGTACGAATTTTTTTTTTCACTTTTTTCCCCCGTCCGCACACCGATGTAAACGGAACCACGATTCCACGATACGGTCGGCAGGACAGGCGAGAGGAGAGAACCATTGGTGTTCATACCAACTGAAAGTGGCGCCGACTGATGTGTCCGATCCGCGTCCGCGCCGCCACTGACGATCGCAGTGTGGCCAATGGTTCTACCGCCGCCATAACTGCCCCGTTTAAATCTCCCGTCACCAAGACGAAATAATACAGGGCGATATTGTACAATGTTCAAATTTTACATTTATTCATGAATTTTTGTCATGAACTGATTATATGTTACCATTTGCCATTTAAATAATAAAATTACGTTTATTTAAAGTTGAACATGAATAGTCCTTAATGTCATCAGATAATCAATGCCCTCGTTTGGGGGCAGATAACTTAAGCAGTTGACAAGGACTTCGCGCTTAAAATATATTTTTGGACCTATAATTCATCAAGTTAGAATAGTTGGATAAATTTATGTGTAAGGAAATTGTACTCATTTTGCCTTGGGCCTCGCAAAAACTTGCGACGGCACTGCAGATAATAACTTGGGCATAGGCGGAAATCGGGAGGGGGGCTTGAGGGGACTAAGCTCTCCAGAAATTTAAAGTACAGGTCTTAGCCTCCCTAGTCCTAAAATTGTTAAGTGACTAAAAATACAATAATTATTATAATTGTAAAATGCATTTTTAATAACTGAATTAAAAAAAAATATTCTGTGATAAAAATTAAATCAAATTCTTAAAATATTACAAACTTGTTGTCATGACTTGGAACGATCGTAATTATTGTAATATTAATAATATGTAATAATACCTGCATTGGTTGTTTAATTTAAATAATTTAATTAATTAATAATTTCTGTTTAGAATACCTACTCCAAAAATGTTTAAGACAAACCTAATTGTTTTTTGGTTACATTGTTGAGTATGTTAAATTCTCAAACTTTGTAAATTGCCTTATTGAAATAAATAATTGCGTACAGGGTACCTATAGGTGTAATAAACAAATAATGCTCAGTCCCCCTCCCACTAATTTCACTAAATTTCCGCTTATGAACTTGAGGGTTCATATTGTCACCTCAGTTCAAGACTGTAATAACTCAAAAATATTCAGAATTGAGTTACTTACGTGATATTATTTGCAAAATTACGATGATTTCGATTCCATAATGCAATAATTTTTAGTTGCATTATTCACCTCTAGAGGTCGTTTATTTCATTATAGAACCAGTAGTTTAATAATTTGAGTTACTTATTGCAGTCTTGAACTGAGGCGTCGATATGTTATAATTCATAATTCACGTTAAGATTTGATTTAATCATAATCCACCGACTAACATATAATACGCAAAATAAATATATATATTATATATAATCTTGGTTCGTCGATTGAATTAAAAAAAAAATTTGATAAGCAATATAAGATAATTGTAAGCTTTCGAAATAATGACTAAAGATTGTTTAAATTAATATTTTATTGACTGGTAATATTTACTTCCTAAACTTTTTTGTTTATCACGGTATGAAGCCATATTTTACTTTCATTAAATCCACAATTTTCGTCTTATCCTCTCTTTCTATTATTGGCTAATCGATTTTCGCTCTTCATAAGACAATTAAAGTTTATTAAAATGATTCAGGACTTGATTTGCATAGTCCACCATTAAATACCCTGGCTCATACTATATATAATATTTTTGAGTATTATATACATCTTATTTCATGTAGTAACTATCATATGGTAGGAATCAAAAAACTCACTCAAGAACTACACATCCTTAATCAGTGGCGTTGCCAGGATTTTTCTTCAGGGGGGGGGGGGGCTGATCAATTTTTACACGGCGATGGTACAAATACAAATTTAAACGTTTAAAAAATTTTCCGTTTACCGTTATTGACAATTAAAACGTTATGAAAAATTTAGCATTTTGCGTTATTTAAATTAGTATAAAATTTGAAACGTTTTCAAATGTAGTAATACTATGAAATAAATCATAATTTTTATTTCTTAATAAAATACCCATTACTTATATAAAAATTGTCTTGGTCTAAAAATTCTCGGGGGAGGGGGGGGAATTGCCCCACCGCCCCACAAATACACCACTGCACTACATGCGACGTTTTGGTTTCTCGGAGGGGCTGTAAGTTTGAAGAGAACGTGGAAGAGACAATATGAATTTTTTAAAGCATAACTTATACTATTAAAATTATTAATAAAAAGCACCAGCATCCAGTGACACATAAAATCAAAATAGTTGCAACTGCGTACGTCATTCAATTGAGAATGAGTTTATTTTCACATATTTAAAACTATTTTTCTGATTTGAAAAAAGTATTTTTAACAAATAAAAAAATACAAATACAAGTATTCAGAATACGTTATTGAATACTTTTTCAAAAAAGTATTTAAAATAGTATTGAAATACTTATAAAGTAATCAAATAATTTGAATATATTTATTCGAATACTTTGCAAGTCTACATATTATTATATTCATTTATAGAAATGAGATTTATATCGATAACCGTGTCGGCTGGGCAAAATATTTAAGCGACTTTATTGTACGTTGTCAAAAGTTATAATTCATAATATTTGTTTGTATTACTTTCTGTGTGCTGAAAGTAATACGAGCAGAACCGGCTCAAGGTATAGGCGAGCTAGGCATCTGCCTAGAGCGACACTTTAGTAGGGGTGGCATTCTCAAAATTAACTCATACATTTTTTCTAATTCTATTGGTGTTTTATTAGAAAAATATTTAAATTAATTCATTCGCAAAAACCACTTATCTATATAGTAAAATAATATTGTCTTAAGTTATTATATTACTTTATATTACGGCCTACGCTGGGCGTTTTCAATTATTCCAAAAATATTAACAACCGCACAATCACTTCCGCGATTTCCGATAGAAAATAGGGGAGGGGTTAAGTTAAAATAAGAGCTCAATTTTTTTTTAGAGATGGCAAAATTTGATTTCGCCTAGTGCATTATTTTTGCTTGGGCCGACTCTGAATACGAGTAACGAATACTTATAATATTATTACGTATTAAGAACCTGAATTGTATTCATATAATTTAGTAAGTATTACCAAAGTAAAATTTAAAAAAAGTTCTATGACTTTCGATGAAGAATTGTAGGTAAAAAAAACTGATCAAAATAATTGAACTATTTCATTGGATTTTGTTATTGATTTAGTATGAAAATACTTACAGCAATTAATACAATAACATACATACATACATTGTTTTAAATAGTAAAACCTATATTGTACATTTTGTTACTTGTTAAGCTCTAGCAAAAGGTATAATTATTAATTCTATGTGAAAAAAAAAGTAACTTATATAATATTATTAATATTATAATAATATTTTAAACATTTGAATCTATGATAATTATGATTTAATTAATTATAATTAATTTTCATTGCTTACTTTTCTGATAAATTCAGCGTGGAAATGAATTTAATGTACACAAGATAGCGTTCGTCATATATTTGTATTTATATCACAGATTACTTACATTATTTACTGTGCATATACTATTTTGTGCTTATACCTCAACCATGGATTAAGATATATTAGTCTGTAACCTCAACTATGTTATCAATGATTGGTATATAAATATCAATTTTTTTTATAACAAAAATTATAGAAGTATATTATAAGTGATTTGATAGTAAATTTATGTCTAGACTACGTTGACACTGGGGCCGAAGTGTTATGCTATTGGACTAAAAAATTATTCATTCGGCCTTCAATTTTAAGAGCTTTTCACTCGTTTTCGTTTATGTTGTTAAACCACAATATTTAATATTCTACGGTAAGTATTAACATCTCAACAGCCTTGAAATTTAATAATTTAATAATAATAAAATCAAAGTTTGTGTCATTAATGAACCTCTACCTTTGTTCTTCTTATATTTTGTGTCTTTAATAATGTGAATCAGTCGGGATAACTGAAGGATCCTTAATCATAGTTATTGAAGAGTAAAATAAGACAGTACGTACTTTATATGGTCCCATGTTGCCTTTAATATTAAGTGTTAAATGTATGTAACAGATGTATAGATATTATTCATATTATTTATTATTATGTAGATATGGCATTAGTGGAAGGGTTCGGTGATGAAGTTATCCAGTTTTTTGGTATACTGTTCATTGTTGCACTAATTGTATTGCTATGGATGTCTACACAAGTGGCTGAAATGCAAATATTCCGTGGTGCTGTTTTCATTTTAGAAAGACGTACTAGAAGACGACACCATGATACAGCAAGAGTTACACCTGTAATACCTGTTCAGTCCATAAGTATGTATATTATTATTCATTATATAATGATTTTATTATTTTATAATAAATATTTCAATTTATTTTGATGTATCTTAAGTTTTTTTTTTTTTTTTGCAACTATTTGGTTGACCTTACAACAGTATTATTTAAACAGAGTATATTGTTGTGTTTTAGTAAATTTAAGTTTTACTTAAATACTTATTTTAGTTTCGTTTTACCATTTGTATATATTGTTAGTTGATTTTATCTATAATTCAAATTAAGGGGAGTTAAGATATCAACCCCCCCCATTATATAATTTGTTCAACTGAACTCAAAAATTAAAAAGACCATCCACTAATTTGTTGAATAATTGAGATAATTAAGATATTACGACCACAAACTTCCTTACTATATACTTATACTACTTTATTTGGCTGTAGATACTTAAATCAGAGTAAATAATTTTTACTATCAAAAAATAAATTATGATAGTATCAAATTATTCAATTGTAACATTGATATTTTTTTTACTTCTTTTTTTAATGGTTAACAAGCTTTTCAGATTCAACTATCAAGTCTTTCCAGCTGTCTTGATTTCTTGCTGTTTATATTGTTATTTTATTATCCACTTTCTTGACATTCTATAAATAAATTTAAATATTAAACAGCAAAATCAAAACATCTATGTTTGCTTTCTACAAAGTAATAAAGTAATTCGTTTACTAAAATATAAATTTGACTACTGTTATATCAGTGATATAATAAATTTAATTTATTTACACCTAATATTTATAAGAATAGAAGTCCAAGAAAAAAAAAAATATACTGGTTGTAAATTTTAATAATTTGATGAAATATATTTCTATAGATGAACATCCTACAACTGAAACAGTTCCAGTAAATCTTGATGTTCAAACAAATTCAAGTTTAAATACTGATAATCAACAAAATAAAAATGAAAATTCTACTGATACAAAAATTGATGATGCTACCAAAACTGAATCAACGACCAAATCTAATGAATCTAGTCAAAGCCCTTGTGTTAATGATGGTACAAGTGAACCTCAAGTGTACGATGATTCTATACGAATACGACTTAAGTATTTAAATGATAACTGTCGTTTAGTTGAAGGCAGGCTAACTGAGAATATTGGCATTTTCAAAAGGTATTACTTCCAATTATATTATAAAATAAATAATTAAAAGATGAATAATTTTATATTTTATTAATTTAGGAGACATTTTAGCACCGAGTTATCATCGAATAAAATTATCCGTTTAATATTTCAAGGGAAAGTATTACATGATGATGAAGCATCACTAGGAAGTTGTGGTCTTCATGATAACTGTGTTGTACACTGTTTAATACATCAGCCACGTATTACAGTAACTGGTCAACAAACTCCTGATCCTGTGGACCATGATAATACTGAGCAACCATTACCAAACATGACACGCCAACGTCAACAAGGTCCTGTTCAACGTGAATGGAACCTGGCAACATTGTTATCTGCTTTAATAACAATAATAATTTCCTTACTTTGGTATGCAAGAATCCAGTTTTACACATTGTTTTCATATACCTCTACTGGTACATTAGGTATATTGACTGGCATTTTTATGTTTACCGCCTTTCTAACTTATTTGGTGGACAATGAAGAGCAACAACATCAACAGCGACAACATCCCGGACATTAATTTTTTAAAATTTTATTTCAGCGTATCTAACAACAAAGTGCACCAAAAGTGGGTCTCAATATTTTGTTTACAAAATGATCACAGTAAGGTATATGCTTAACTACGTATATTTTCATTTGTAATGCAATTTTGTTAAAAAAAATTATCAACTTTTAACTATGTGAATTAATTAGTTATGGATACATATTTTTTATTGTATTAGTTTTTTTTTTCAATATTTAAAATCATAATTACTAATTCTTTATTATTCAATAAAATTGCAATCAAACATGTATGGAACTGAATAAAATAATTTTTAATGAATTACATATTATTTCCTTCTTACAAAAATCTTTTAAAATTTGATGGTTATTAATTAAAATTATACTTTGTTATATCTACAAATATATTAGTTAGGTATTCTTGAAGTTTTTCTGTGAACTAAGGTTTTTAATTTTTTTTAATTTCTAAATTAACTATACATATTTTACTCAAAAGATCTTATTTGTGAATAAATATTATCAAATGACAAATGATTAATACATTTTTTTTTTTCATTATATTAGTTATAGAATGTTATTATTTTCTGTCTTAAATTTGTTTGTGGCATTATGTATAATTAATTAAGTGTATTTAATAGAAGTATATTTAACCAATAAAAAGCATTTTTAAGTGTACCATTAATATTAAAATTACTAAAAGGGTAATTTTAAGAGATATTTGTTAAATTTAATTTCTAGATCTAGTTAAATGATGTTATTGTTTATGTAAATTTAAATATAACAATAGTCTAAGAATAGAAATAAATCTTTATTCATGAAGCTTGTAATTAAATTTTTAACATTTTTTACATAGGAATATTTCAGATGATCATTGCAGGTATTAGAAAGGAATGAGAGGGCGCAATACTCCCCCCAATTATGAATGTCCCAAGCCCGTATTTAATAATTTGGCGTCCCCGGGCATATAACTTATGCCCACCCCCAAAAAAAAAAAAAAATTATAATAATTTAACACTTATTATTTCGTCCATAATTGAGATTCTTTAATACTAAAATATAACTTATGAATAAAAATCATTTAATCCTTTTTTTAATTATAAAATAAAACAAATTATAACATAATAAAACATACAATGTCCTTTTTTTTAATTAACAAATTATAATATAATAAAAATACAATTTTTTTTTTTTAGTTTACAAATTATAACATAATTAAACATAGTATTTTATTTTTTATTGTTTTATTTTTTTTTTCATTAGGTAAGTACATCATTTTTAAAATTAATTTTGCTCAAATATTTTGCCGCCCCTGAGACTTGACGCCCCCGGGTATGTGTCTACCCGTGCCCCCCCCCCTAAATACGTGCCTGTAATGACCTATTTATATAGTCTACAATCATCAATGTATTGTTGGAAATTCCTAATGTTTTCCATGTACGGGAACAAATTAAAGATTATCTAATATTACATTTTAAACTACAGAACTTAAATACGCTAGACGATGAGCTGTTAATTGAAGAAGTACTATATATATATTTGAAGTATAAATTATTTTTTCTTCTTTTTCCTTTTCTAATAAATATATGAGTATTTTATTATTATTTATAACTTGTTCCATTTATAGTGATCTGTAATGACAAATAAAATAAAAATATGCATGTGCACAACAAAATATCGAAATGAATTAAACTAAACTAATATTAAATGCCAGCTGTAGCATTCATTTGTATTGTAGAAAACTAATACAACACAACGATTAATTATTAAAATCGTTGCGACCATCCGCTAAGAGTAGTCACAGCTTGAAAACCGTACCTTTATACCGTACGTTTATAGGTAACTGAGGTATTGTATACCATAATATATCATTTTTTTCACCTTTTTATATCAGACCATTTTTATAAATAAAATTTAACATTTTCCAACCTTTATTGTATATATTATACAATGACTACATTTATTAAATTAATAGTATATGTTAAATAAAGTTATTTCTGTACTATAGTTTTTAATTTAAGCATAGTATATAATTTTTTTGGTAAAAACGTGGTCAATATCTCATTTGGTGGAAAAGGGAAAGGTCTACTTTTAGTGGAAACGGGCATCACCCAAATAATACTATAAACCCGTTGGATATCAATCGGATGTCGATATAGAGTAATAGATTATTTGTTTAGTGTTCAGTTCAGTCGATTATTATCCGTTGTTGTTTTTGCGTCTCGCAACCACGCAACGTCGAATCATATGTAAGACGTCGTACGCGTATATTTTGTAACATTGTGTAATGCCAAAAGTACAACAGTCTACGAGTAGCCGATTACAAAGTTTTGTTTCGGAGTTTAAAAATACATTTATATACGATGGACACGTTTTATTTTGTGTACTATGTGGTCATTTTTTTTAATACATATAAATGCATATTTTAATGATTTTAGAAGCATATTTGTGTATTTTTTAGAGCTTTAAGTCCCTAAGCCCAATGCATTTGATAAGGAATTTTCACTGGGTGATAAAAAATGTTTTTTTCAAAATAGTCAATGTATAATACCATAGTACGATTATAGTATTACACGTTTGTTTCGCATTATTTCGCCTTATCTTTTAAAATATTGTCGACAGAGTATAATCACTGGGCGACATTTGTGTCGCCCAGTAAACTAGTTAAAAAATGCATTGCCTAAGCCTAATTATAATATAAGTACGGCTACAATATAAATAAATCAATATTATCGCCGGACGGATGTAGAGATACATAAATAAAATTACAGAAAATGCGGCCGCGGTACATTCAACATTTCTAAGAATATGATTTGTAGTGACGCCCAAACAGGTTACCAAGGGGTGCAATTGCATGTGCTCTCGTTGTGGGTGGGTGATAGGTGGATTGGTGGGTTTATAATTGGACAAATTGTATACCAATCATTATGGAGTATGGCAAGCAGTAGCGGATTTAAGGAAAAAAGCCCAGGCGACATACGATTCAAATGACCCAAGAATTATGAATCATCGTAAATACTAACTCGTGACTTCCCTCTTAAAATACAGTTAAACTAGATAGGTATCGAAACAAATTAAAATATATACATATATTTAAATCTTCCAAACTGAATATATTATTTCTAAATAACCTTATCAAAATTATCATTAAATTTAAACAAAAATATTTATGTTGTTAAACACATAGTATATTACTAATGTAAATCGGTAATTCAAGTAAAATTGTAAATTGTCATCTGGCTTCAGCAAATATTTTAATAGTTGTATCTAGATTTATTTTACTTGCCACCGATCTTTTGATAAAAATTACTGAATTCATTGAAAGTTTTTTCACTTAAAGTGGCACAACGATGTTTTTTTAATATTTTTATAAAGAACTCAGTACTCATTCAGCGCTTGCTGTACTAACAGGGAGTGTAAAAAATAATCTAAAAAGACTGTTAAACTTTGGAAAACTGTTTATCAAATGTTTATCAATGATAAATTTTAAGTTATTCAGTAGACTGTTGTTAATAAAATCGTTATTTTAAGAAAAATATAAATCAATAAAACTAATTAACTCATATTTCAGATCAGTTGTAAATAAATCAGCGTATTTCTCAATCAAAATACCAACACTGATATCTAAATCACCTTCTATCAGCTTTTGTAAATTTTCAGGCATCAAAAAACCAAAAAATTCTTATTGCTGCATATTGTATCGAAAACTTCATTGTTTATGTTTATCAAACGTTTCCAAAGAAGAATCAGTAGCTTTTTCACCAACCATTATCTTAATTCGCCGATTTCTCACTGTTGGAAAGTCCGCATGATTCAAACCCATTTTTTCCCAATTTGTTTTTGCTTTTGCCATGAAATGATTGTAAGATTTTTCATTTCTAGGATTTTTTAATTTTGTTAATGCTGTTGAAATACAATTTTTAGCCATTATCAAATAAATTACTTTTTTTTTTGTAGTTGTAGTTGCCCAGAATTGATATATCAAAACAAATTATATAAATTATTTAAATTATTAATCGTTTGATATATGAAGCATTGAATGCCACCATAACAAATTAAAAAAAAGTAATCAATTATGTGATAATAGTAATGTCTGAGCAGCCATAATATCATCTCCAGATGCTCCAACTCTTAATATCTCATTTTCTAGACAGTCTACAATGCACTCGACCAGTGGCGTAACCAGAACTTTTAATGCCCGTGGCAAAATAATCCAATCGGGCCCTTAGTTTTATAAATTTGGAAGAACGAGATATGAGGAATATCCTTCAAAAACTAACCACCTATACAATTCTACCCTTTAAGGCTACAAACAATAAAAAACATGTTTAGTGTAATATTATTTTTATAGTAAAATTTTACTAAACATTTTTTGGTTTAAAAAATATATACAAAGCAATACAAAATTTAAATATTCAAAATTTCTTGCTTTTGCTCCGGCAAACATATCGATTAAATCTTCAAAGTCAACTTCTCGGGCTGTTTCTTATTCGATTGAAATTAATGCCAGGCCACTTAAACGATCTTGTATCATTTTACTCTTTAAATATCTTTTAATAATTTTTAGTTTCCAAAATGACCGTTCCGCGCTTGCACATGTAACAGGAATTGTCAAAAATAATAAAAGAGTAGTACATACTTCTAGGAAACTGGCTGTTAAAGAATGATTTTTCACCATTAAAAGTTGAGCAAGATTTATTTGATTTTTAAGAGTTGATCTTACAGCTAAAATTTCACTTGTAAATGTTTTTGATATGCCTTTATCATATTTGTTTACCAACTTTGTAGCTTCATTTAAAAGCTCTAAAGCTGTTGCTGATGTGAGAAAAGATGGTTGTAAACATGTGAAATTTAGCATTAATTCATGAAAACTTGAAAAACGTTTACTTATTTGATTTATTAATATATCCAACGTTCTATTAAAAATAGTTAAACGAAATAAGCTTTCTGGACAAGTTAAACGCATATCAGTACATAGTTCATCGAAATATCTTTTTACTACTTTACGACGTTTGTTTTGAAACTCTGTAGAGATAGACCAACTTTTAGCAACTATACTTGCTTCTTCCAAATTACATCTATATTCTTTTAATTGTTCATAACAGTTTTTTATTAAATTAGATGCATTATCTAAATCAAATGACTTTGACTGGAGAATTTTAGAAGTTATGTTTATAATTTGTAAAATTTTACATTGAAAAACTAAAGTGCAAATAAAATTATGATTTTCAATTTGTTTTTTAATCCCATCTGCTTCATTTCGCTCATCTAACTTAGAGTTGCAAAGTTTAACTTTTGTTAAAGCTTTTTGAATTACAACAAATCTAACTTTAAGCGCAAAAACTGATTCATAACGACCAGCCCAAACGACACGTCATTGACTAATAACAAAATAAAATATAAATTAAAAGAACATCAAGTAACAACGACTAAACGACGGTCACTTTTTCCTAGAATAGTTCTAATCTGATCTAGTATCTAAATATAAATGTTACGTTCGGTTTCAAAGACAAGCGATTGCGATACGCTTCATTGTTATTTCCATTTTACAAATAACAATATCATTAAATGTATAATAATATTAATATCGACAATGTCAACGGACTGGTAAATAAAATAATTTATAAACATAATCGTGATCAGTTATTAAATTTATTTTATTTTACAAAAATATACATATATTTTTAAACAGAATCGTATTTATAAATTTCACTATTATGATGATTTGTTTTTGAATGTACTATTTTTTTCTTGAAGGGCCCTCTAGAGTCGTGGGCCCGTGGCCCATTGTCCGTCATGCCACCCTATCGTTACGCCACTGCACTCGACATTTTGAATTAAGGCTTTCACAGCTTTAAAACGTGCCGCCCCATGAGTTTTACTCAAACTTTTGAACATTTACGTTTTTACAGTATCGAAAAGAATATTCAAAATCGTGGTCCATTTCTGTTCTATTTTAATTTTTTCGTTGAAATGAAAATTAGTGAATTGAAGACTGGGTCAGTGGCGCAACCAGGGGGGTGAACTCCGGGTCTGGACCCCCCCCCTTGGTACGTATAATAGTATATTAATATCATTTTCTAGATATATATATTATAATTTTTTATTATTTGTATATTAGTTTATTTTGTCAGACCCCTCTCCATGAAAAATTCCTGATTGCGCTACTGGACTGGGTCTGTGTTCCGAGGGTCCTTACGGGTAGAGGCCCAGGCGGCAAATGTCCATTTTTTTCCTGTTAAATCCGCCACTGATGGCAAGCAAATAACATTATTGTTATAACACAAACATTATACCTATACGAGTAGTGTACAGAGTGTAGACATCTTAATTTTAATTAATTATAATAAATCTTAATTTCTTAAATTAATAGTTGTTTTAAGAGTTAATTACAGTTACAGACAACAATTTAAACGAACGTTTTTTTTAAAAAAAAAATAATTGGTGGGTAGGTGACTAACTTTTTTTAGTTGCATGTGCTCTCAAAATACTTCTGTGCGCCACTGATGATTTGATCAGAAATTCAGAAAGAATAAAATCAATTTATTAATCAAAGTTTGCCTAATAAGAAACAACACTTAAAAAATGAATACTGAACAATTAACTATTGTTACAAATGTTATTCATACTTTTATATATTAGTTACCTATTTATCATAACGTAAGCGCGGGGCCCTAAAATTCGCGTGGGGCCTAGGACAAATGTCCCAATGGACCTACCCTAGGGGTAGCCCTGCCAAATGTAAAATGATATCCTAGTGTTTATGGAATTTTGCCTCAAATAGTAGAAACAAGAGATTCTGATCGCTTTCTTAAATGGATTTTGAAAAAATCTGGATCATCTGATGCAAATTATTTTAAAACAATATTGAATGCGCCTAAATGTTGTCTTCTAGCAATGCACTATCTTACCCAGACACACCTATTCTTTTTTAAATTTCTTTTCTAAATTTAATTTAATTTTTTCAGTTAATATTTACCTACCTATTACTATTATCCAGTTCGAGAACCAAAGAGATGAAGGATGAACTTCCACCACCATTATTTAAATAATAAATTTATATATTTATACAATAAAAACTGTGTTTTTCTATACATAATGAGAAATGAGTATTTAAAGGTAGATTAATATGAACAAATTTGGAGGTGCTAATTTCGAAAATGGGGGTGCTAAGCACATCTAATCCCCCCAAATTACGCCTATGGAAATATGGCTTCAGTGATAGGAGATAAGAAGCCAACCATTGGAGGCACTCAAGGACAGGCAATTTTAATATTTAATATTGAATAAATTCAAACACAGGATAACGATAGTATAAGAAAACGACGAACATCGATCGCAATGCAGTGCAGAGGCAGCTAGTAAGCACTTACTACCGGGGCGATGCCCCGGTATAAAACATTTTTATGTATATTTTGATTAAATAAATTTAAATTTAGTAGGCATACCAATATATTTATGAACATATTCCGAAATACATAATTTACGTTTTATCGTTTAAATAGTTTTAATGTGATACGAGAGAAGCCAGAGCAATTTTTTCAGGGTAAGTGGGGTAGTTTAAATTATACTGCCCCGGTAAGATGTAAATGTTCAAACCGCCTTTGATAGAGTGGCAACAGTTTTGTGCGAATCTATGTAAACAATTTCTGGTGATATATGTTAACTGGTGTACACAATGGCGCTACATGAAACATATACATGTAAACCCAGTATTAGAGACAATACATGCAGATGAAATGTCCTTTTAATCTTAAGTAATATTAGTATTGTAGAATTTTATTTTAGAAAGTAGTTGACAAATTTGTATATTTATACCCCCACCCTCCTAATCAATATTTGCTGACACCTGCCATGTAAGTAATAAGTAAAACATTTAATTGAAATCACTAATTCATAGGTCACTATCAGAGTAGCCTCGTATCATTTATAATGATAATATTGCTTCTGATAGTTGATAAAATAAACAAAGGTATGAAAATCATACTAGTATATTATTGAAAAATGTTTAATAAAATTAAAATGTTCAATATAATATATTCACAGAAGTATAATAAAAAAAATATATATCAAAGCAGCCTTCAAGCACAATGGTGATTACTTATAAATTATTCAAGTATAAATTTTGTCTCCGACATTATGAAAAAATAAAGCAACCGTTCGAGTTTTCGGGTTCACTGATAAATAAGCAAAACTATATGGTGCGGAGTTTATGCTTTCTTTTGGAAATGAAATCTTGTTATTAGAATTGAAAGCAACGACTTTGTATATCTTGGACGAAACTCGTATCCCGAAGTCAGTTACTTTCTCGACACTAATACAAGTAACATTTTAAAAATATAAAATATATAAATACATAATTCATATGAAGTAATTTATTATCATGAACTATGATAATTGTCTTACTTAAGTAAATCTTTGTACACATGTTTCGTTGCTGTCAAATACGGTTCAATGATTTCGTCGTCTTGACACCAACGTCCACCGATCAAAAAATGCTGCAACAGTCGAAATATAAACTCCGCGCGTTCGTCTTCACTGTACAACAAATATTCACTGGATTCATCTTCGAATGACATCTGAAATTCATGTTATTGGATTACACGTTATAAATTCCTTCTGAGACCTGAGTCCTAACGGATGTGAGTCGGTATTTTAAGTATAGACCTAATATAAATATAGGTCAACAACCTACTAGCTATAATAGTGGATATATAATGGTAATATTTTAATATTAGTGATGTTATTAGAATTTGTTTTCGTTCACATTTAATTCATGCGTATTATTGTTGATGCTCTAATATAATAAAATTATATAAATTTAAATACATTGATAATTATATGTATCCATAGTGGGTAGTTTACACTAGTAGTACATTTTATGCATTTTGATTAAACCTGTTATTTTTTAAGCGTATTCGTGTATGCAAGCGCAATTAAGGGTAGGCTAAATTATGCTTAGCACCACTAAACTATTTTCGTGTTTATATAATGGCAATATGATTTTCTGCTTAGAAAATATTTGTTCCTAAAATCGGTTGTTTTAGTTTCTTGCAAAAGCAATTTTATATTATTATACAACCCAATATAATTTGTCTATTTATAGAATAGTTTTCCAATTATCTACCAATTATAGGAAGTCGCTAACCGGTAGTCATAAGGACGGTCGCACACGAATGACTTTTTGTCGCACAACTATTTTTTTCTTTTTCGCCCTGTAGTTTTTTCGGTCTTCGCGAGCGCGCACACGATCAGCAACTTTATTCTATAAATAAATTTTCACGTATTGATTGTGGCATTCCACAAATGCACGTGCACATTGTTTGTCTACGTACACGTTATCATGGATTTTTTGGGGAACTACGATGATTTGTAACTTATCATTTAACACGGGAAAAATTAATTAAAAGAAAATATTAGGTTAGGTTAGGTTAGGTCTCTAATAGTAGTAATAACTAGGAGATAAGTTTAGTATTTTTGATTTTTGTATAAAAAAAGTCAATATTCGTCAATACTTTTTATAGCTAAAGCTAATAGTATACTCGTATACTGAGTACCTGCGTATCCCAAATTAAATAATAAGTATACGCATAGACCAAAAAAATGAGGAGTCGTTATGCATCATATAACCGTTTTTTCCATAACAACTGTATGTATACAAATAATAATTCATATTAACCATTTTTAATTTATTCGAGATGTATATGCCGTTTTTGAACACTTCCATGCACTGGCGTATTCTATGGTTACCATCATTATCAGTACCACTGCAAACGATGTTATTTTTGGGGTCCAAGAGTCTATCGAAAAACATCATAGACGTGACGCTACAAGGAATCGTTTCCGTCTGTACTCGGTTTACGTTGTTTCCTAGAATAAATTATTTTGAATCATTTTGAAGTCATTATAGATTACCAGTTATGAAATATCCAAATTAATTATGCTTTAATTATATTACTATACTAATTAATATTAAAAAAAATTATCGAAAATATTAATTTATATTCCTAGTGTTATCAAATTGTTAAGAATAGGTATGATAGATCTTTATTCAAGTCGACAGTACAGTGGTTGATCCACCGTGGGGGGGTTATAACCCCCCCCCAAAATTCAGGAAAAATATATATTAAAAAACCAGAGGCGGCTCTAGAGTCTTGATTAGGACGCGGGCAAGTTATAATTTTACAAAATCTTATAACAAAAAGAAAACAACAATTTAGTCCGTACAGAAATGTGTGCTACGCAAATCATGTTTTGAATATTATAAAATAATAATATCATAGTATGATACTATAGAATATTTTATATTAATATAGTTTATTTATAGGCTTATTAAATAAGGTTATAAATAAACAAATTTTGTTCTTCATAATATAGATAGCAGGCACTTCGTATACACCATCATACCTCTATGGCTCTATCTACATACTTGTGCGTCGTATAATAGTCCAGCATTTCCCAAAGTGTGTTCCGCGGAACCTTAGGGTTCCGTGGGACAATGCTAAGGGTTCCGCCAGATATATGTGAATGTTGAGAAATTTATTTTATATTAAATTTGGAAAAAATATTATTTCATATTATTTAAAAAAAAATTGTGTTTTATATTAATTTTAATAAAAAGTAATCATTAACAATATTAACAGTATTATTGAAAATATTTTTAGAGTATTGGTTTTCCTATAATTTTTGTTTTTAAAAAAAATTAGAATTGAATTGAAATTAAAGACATTAGGGTTCCCCGAATCACAAACTATTTTTTAAGGGTTTCTTGAATGTAAAAGTTTGGGAACCGCTGTAATAGTCCATATTATACGAGTAATATGCATTTTTTGTTAACATTATACATTTTTTTATAAATACGGTACGGGCTTGGGGGGCGCGGCCCCTAGGGCCCCCCTGGAACCGCCCCTGTAAAAATCAATAATTTTATAAATTAAGAAAAAGATTTTTTTTTTAAAGTATGAGGGAAAATATATAATTTGTATTTAGATTTAAATTAATGTATTACCATATGGTATATTACTTACTATTATCTTAATTCATTATCAATCACTGACTGCAATGTTATAAAAAATATGATATATATGAAAACATTTTTAACCCCCCCCCCCCCCCAACTCCAAGCCAAAAACCCCCACCCCCCCCCCCCCCCCCCCCCAAATGAAAATTTATGGTACCCCACTGCGACAGTAGCTATACTTTTCGAGATAGTATTTCTTTTAAATAAAATAAAATCTAAATGTATTGATTTAAGTATGAACTTTAATATTTTCCATTACTTTATACGGATTATTATACGCATCAAAACAATTATAAAATGTATTTGTATAGCAGTGCATTTTATAAGAAATTTTCACTGGGTGACAAAAAATGTTTTTCTCAAAATAGTCAATGTATAATACCATAGTACGGTTATAGTATTATATTTTGTTTCGCATTATTTCGCCCAATCTTTTAAAATACTGTCGACAGAGTTTAATCACTGGGCGACATTTGTGTCACCTAATTAACTAGTTAAAAAATGTACTGTTGTATAGTATCCTTGACCAGGAGCGTAGGTATACATTATTTATGGGAATAGGCAGTGCCATATTTAGTAGTTTTGCGTTCTGGCGCAGTTAGAAAAAAAGTTCAATAATTCACAAGTGAGCAAATTTCCGACCACAAAATTTTAGCTCCCCAAAAAAACTGACGCCCAGGCAGTGGTATTCAGTGCTTCCCCCTTAAATGAAGCCCTAGGAATGGGGGCTTTAAGAATTATTTGTACAGTTAATTAATTGATGGATATGAAAATAATTTTGAAGAAATTGTGCAGTAATTATAAATATAATCAAAGACCTTTATTTAATTAAATTTAAAAGAAAATACTTTTAATTATTATGCAAGTAAATTTAACCTTTGTCTACATTATACTGGTTTTGTTCATTATCTGTAATTTATCCACAATGACGTCCCTATAAATATTAAGAAGTTCTGGACAAGTTCACTATCACTCTTGATTTATCTGAAATATGTCTTCGACGTAGACACAAGAAGAGTAGCAAAAATGTTTTAAAGTTATATCTATGATAGGAAATAAATAGTTTATTAAATTTATCTAGTGTTTTAATCACATTTAAATCATTACTACTTTCGATGTTGGAGGTAAGCGTACGCTTTAATAATATTACATTATTTTATATTATCCCAATATAATAATAGATATACTTAATTGGTACTGATTTAGAAAATTACACATATTTTGTAATACCAAAAGTATTTTTGAAAAATAGTATTATAAATATTAATCTACATTAAATGTATTCCGCACAAGTATAATTTAGTTAAATGTTTAATTAAAAAAAGGTCTTGTTATTTGTAGTGTGTACATAAAAATTAAAAATTTCTCCTATATTTATATATAATAATTAATTGGATTTAATTGGACCTTTGAAATTAGAAGGGTTTAATCTTCATACACACTTTACCTATATCCCTGGCCGTTTGACTTAATGATGACAATACAACTTTATTACTTTATTATTTTCATCATACTAACTACGCAGGAACGGATCCAGAGTCGGGAAACTGTGGGTCAAGCCATTTCAAGAGGCGATTTATTAGGGATGAAACTGAATTAGAAATGAATACCTTGTAAAAAAAAAAAAAACACAATATGCTCATAAAAGTGTATATTTATATTACATTTTAGAATTAGTGATACCACCGATAATGAAATATTTACGATTAATTAATATAATCTAATTTTATTAGCGCAACAAACGTACGGAATAACCTAACTTTCTACTAAAACGATATAATTGAAAATATAAATTATGAATTGAAAAATTTTAAATTTTGAATATACATGGCATTCATTTTTCAAGTAACTCCGATGGGCCAACTGTCCAAGAGTTCAAATCAAGGTCTAAAAAGAGAAAAAATTTTCAAAAGGTCAACTTTATCAACAAATATTTACTGTGGGTCAGTTGATCCCCTAAACCCCTCCCCCTAGATCCGCCCCTGTAACTATGCCTTTACTCATTACTTACTGCAATAATACATTATTTTTAACGAGTATAATATAGGTACTTAACATGTAGATATATAATTATAGGTTTAGTGTCGACAGTGTAAGTATATATAATTTTTCAATAAAAATTAAATATTTACCTTTGAATTCGTCAAAGTGGGTCTGTAAGGTGGTCACTACATTGCAATCTCGGAATAAATCCTATGAAAATAATATATTTTCAATTTTTGCATAATATAGTTTAAGTTATTCCTGTCAATTCATTTAATTAAATTAATATTATCAAACCAATGCAAACTGCTCAATGTCATCTTCTGTAAACTCTTGATTAAAAGCGTAATAATCGACGTGTAAACATTTCTTCATTGACCTATATAACGAAATTCACATATTATTGTTAAAATTTTTGCTGGTGAAATGTCCTATATATGTATAATTTATATAGCTATCGTCTATTTCAAATGCAAGAGAAACTTTTTCAATCAATACCATGATCGTGATTTCTATGCATTTAATAAAAGTTGTACTAATTTTAAGGAATTCGGCCTTAAATATATTTTCTCTTTCGCAAGACTTCATATTATTACACAAAAAATTAAAAAAGAATAACAGAAATTGTACCTACTTAATATTTATACATTTTTAAACTTAAAGCCTTTTAAAAATTGAAAATTTGAACATGACACAATGTTTTTCACAGAACATAAAATTATACTATAACAAAAATATTAGAAAACAAATTAATATACACTGTGATTATCTATCGGAAAAAACATTGTGAGTCAGTGAAATATATTTCCCTAACCAAATCTTGGTTTAGTTTTTAGATTTTTTTAATATGGGAAATCAAAATTTAAGGTAGGTACCTACTTACCAATCATTACACAATAATTTTTTTACTAATTGCGTTAATAGCAATTATACAAACATCTGTTGAATTTTACTATAAATCTATAAACATTAATATGAATGTAATAGTAAGTTAATATTTTAATAAGGAATGGCATTAAATATAAATTAAGTTTACCTTATTTTATTTGATAAAAACTGAGACAATTATTACTTGTATGGAAAATAATCTTATCACTCCTAACCTTCAGTTATAACAATTTATGACTTACATACTTTGCTACCTTATATAAATCAATAATATTTAAATTATTTTAAGGTATTAATAATGAAATACAAAATTATTTATCTGTGTCTACTAGGTATCTAATACTTTTTCACAGTTCGTCAGACAAAAGTCAGAGTTGTTTTGCTGAAAGTATTGTCACATAAAATTGACTATAAGGCATGTTGTAATAACTTGTTTTAATTATTAATGAAATCTGAACTGTTTTTCAACCAAGTATTTAATAAAAGATATAATGTTAAGTAACATAAATTATTGAAGTTTCATTAAAAAAAATTAATTTAGTAATCCTGAAACCCTTTGGAACACCAGGAAGTCATACTCAAAACTGGTATTGTCCCAATCTGTACGAGGTATATGTCGACTTTTATAAATACCTACTAGTAAATATAAATTTAGTTTACTATTTATAATCGATAGTTGTGTATACTACACAAATATGAAACAATATCTATTTTCATATATAAAAATTTATAATTTTGGATATTTCTTACCATTTAAGAAGATACTCTTGAATCATTTTAGTATATAATCCAGCAGGATCTTTATTAGAAAGATGGTAAAAAGTATATTTTGATGTAGACATAATGGCAAAAATTTTTTAATAAATATAAATGGCAACAAATATTCATAAATACGCTAATGGCTGATGAATCACCATAGATCTAATAAATATGAAACCATAGTAACACAAAAGATAATATTTAAAATAACAACAATTCTTTTTCTTCTCCTTCACCTTTATAATAACTATTTATGGTATAACAAAATAAAAATAAATATAACACTATATATTTTATTTAAATTAACACTGAATACTTATTAGTCAATGATAAGTACCATGAACTATGTATATATAGTAATATTTTGTATATACAAATAATAAATACAAGGAAAAAATTAAAAACTATTTATTAAAATTTGAATAATAAATTATATTTTAAAACAATTTAAATATCATGTTAATGTACATAGTTTAAACTTTCTTAAATATTAATATAAACATTAATTCTATTTGAGGCCTTTAAATCCACGGGCAAGAAGATACATTTCAGAAGAATCCGATCGACTAGCTTTAGGTTTTACAAATTTTACGTTAGTATAAAATTTTATTAAAGTTTTTTCAATTTCCATATTTTGATTACCATTTAAAATTTTAATCAAACAAGCTGCACCAACATTTGAATTTAAAACAGAAAATCTATAAGATTAAACAATATTATATATTTTATTTATTATTTATTTAACTATGTATTTGTTATAAATTCCAATTTACAATGATAACTTACTTGATAACTGAGTATGCTAATTTGATTATTAAGTCATGGTCTAAATGTTTAACCCCTGTAGAATTAGGAGCCATATCACTTAAGACAACGTCTATAAGTCGACCATTTAAATGACTTTTTATCTTAAGCCATGTTTTTGGAGATGTGAAATCAGAATTTCCCAATAACGTCACTCCTTTTATTGGATACATTTGCTGAAGATCAATGCCGATTAGTAAACCAGAAGGCAATTTACTATCTAATTGGATAGTAAAAAAAAAATAGGTTCATAATTAATTTACTTAAATACTTTAAATATATATATTGATAACAAAAGGATTATATTTTAAAGGAGAAATATTTATCTTAATTTTATATTTTAAGACACATGATTACAACATTTTGTCATTATTTAACGTGCTATCTACTGCATATTTTGTCGTTTAGTATGCTATCTAAAGTAATAACTTTATCTATAAATGTATGTCATAGTCATATTTAATACTTATAGGAATGTAAAACAAAAATTGTGTTAGTCCCAATTTCTATGTAACACTACAAGACATTGTAAATGTGGATTTTTTAAACTTAAGAATGAGTTTCTTGACAGCAACTTACTTTCATTGGCACATCTTTGGAAACAAAGATATATGTGCACAATTTTTAAAAACACGTGATTTACACATTGGTAATAGTATTCAAACACAATCTATCAAAGCACTTTGGAGACGTGTAAAAAACAAGTATGGTATCAAATCAAGCAGAGCAACTGATTTGTTTGAATACCAACGACAAGAAGAAAGGTGATTTTAATTTAATAAGCTTATATTTTTTAATTATTCTTTAAGGTAAGAAATATTATATTTAATTTTTAGATAGCATACATTTTAACTATTCAAAATTAACCATGAACAACATTTCGCAAATAACTAAAACATTTAATAATAAGTTGCTGCTTAAGGAAGATACCATGTCAATGGTAAACATGCAATTTATAGCATTATGAACTACAGTAGGTAACAAATACATTTATCTCATTCAGGAATAAAATTAATTTATGTTATTAAAGTACATATAAATATAACTAACCATTAAAATTTACATTAATTCTAGATGCAGCTACTTGTGACCAGCTACCTGGAGCTGCACCAACATCTATAACACATTGTCCTGGTTTCAATATAGAAAATTTATCATCTATTTGTAAGAGTTTGAATGCACTTCTACACCTGTATTACAAGTATAAAAATAAATAGTTTTTGTTCAGCATGTTGTTTATCTTGTTTGTTAATAATGTAGAAAACATATGCATCATCGTTTATACTAATGGATGTATAAGCATAAAATATATATATATATATCCAACTGACATACCTATAATTTTCTACTTTGGCTTTTTCTACGTATGGATCAGAATTTTGTCGTGAAAGCCATTCTTTCGAACTATGCTTTCTGGAAAAATTTTTAAAGACAAACCAATTTCTACACACAAGAATTATTTTCATTGTAAAAATATTTATACCTATAACATAGTAATTAATAACATTTTTATAGTATAATTTTACAATTCAGCTTAACATAGAATAATATGAAAAAACATTTGCACGCTATTCAAGACTACATATTATTCTATACTATTTAAAACAAATGTGCTAAAGTAAATTGTTAACTTATTTATTTTTCAAATCATTGAGATTTACATTTGATAAGTAACTATCAAAATAATTGATAAGATGAAGATTGATAAGTAGAATTGATAAGCAACAACTAATGTACGAATTTAATATTACATAATTATTTTTGTATTGTATACAGTCGTAGATTTCCTTTCTTAATATTTTTTAGTCTAATTTAACTGATCCGAAAAAATTAAAACGACATCATATACGCTATCAAAATCATTGTGTGTTAATGTTTTAATGTAGGAAGTTAATTAATGATTACAATTATTCTAACTTATTACGATTTTTTACCATTTGTAAGTACATTATGAAATTTTTGTTATACCCAAACTTTATTTTTCATATTTGTATTAAATTTTTTTTTAAGTTATCCAATGGATCACAGCTATGATGAAGATGTTTTATTAAATCAATTTTTGATATCTCTTTGCAAATCATCAACAGAAACCTTTTTTAAAGCTGTCGAAAATGGATGGCCTATATGTGTTCCTAGAGAAGGGTCCTTTTTGAAGACTAAATATTCTGAAAAGGATTTTAATGATCACATTTTAATTCCTAGTAATTGTTCAGATGCACAATTCAAGACAATTAGTGGACATGAAGTTTCTGTAGATAACAGTGTAGTTAAATGCCAATATGACAATAAAACAAATACAGTTAACATATTATTTATTGAAACTTGTTATACAGAAGATAATCAAAGCTATAAAGTAATATGTATAGATGGCCCATTAACAAGTGCTACTATGTCAGAAGATATTATTATAATAAAATCTGTTCAAGACTGTTTGAATTTTTTATATTCTAAAAATAACAAACTGTTATTGAAAGACTTAAGATGTTTAATGGATGAATTTTTATTGTCCAATGAGTTCAGTAACATGACTATTGAAATTCAAAAAAAATCCATTTACATTTTATATAATAAATGTTTAAAAAAAGCCTGTTATCATATTAGACGATCTAATATTTTTTTTCAAAACAATTTAAAACTCGCTATAGAGTATTATATTCAAAACAAACTGTATGCTGCTTTAATGAATAACATAAATATTTTAGTTGCTACAGAAGATGCTAAGTTAAACAAACTCATAAGAAATTATTCTAGTGCTATGATTGACATAGAAATAGACCAAAAAGTAGAAGTAGAAATACCAAATGCTAGATGTGAATTATCCAAGTTATATATGCATAAAACTATTCTTGGAAAATTTAAATGTTTGAAAGACACATTTCTGAAGTTATCTAATGGAAACAAAAATTTTACTGTAGATAACCTTTTATGTGCTTTAGTTAATTTAGTTATACATTGTAAAATACCTAATTGGAATGCACAGATATATTTTATGAAATATTTTGTTATAAACAATATTGAAGAATTTGATGACAACTTTTATTTAACCTCATTAGAAGCAGCTATTGAACACATAAAAGTTCATAATTTTAATCTAGAATTATTTTCCAATATTCATGATTCAAATTGTGATACATTTTATAGTTATATTTCTAAAGGAGAATATTTTAAAGTTAAAGAAACTATAGAATATGTAAAAATACAACGATGTAGCTCAAAATGTCACCCTTTATGTGAATGTGATTCTTGTATGAAAGAAATGTTAAAAGAATCAGCAGTTTGTGTCAATTACAAAGATGAACAAGGTCTTACTCCTCTTCACATAGCAGCTTTTTATGGCTATCCACTTATTATTGAATTACTATTGGAATATGGATCTGACATTAATGCTTTGGATAATTTTTCACGAACACCTGCTCATTATGCTGCACTCAGGGGACAACAGAATGCATTATTATTTTTATTACATAATAACGCATTAATGATTGGTGACAATGAGGGTAATACTCCATTACATTTGTGTTGTTCAAATGGTCATGATGTATGTGTCAAAGCTTTATTGTATTTTATGGAGTTTTCGGATTCAAAACTAGATATAAATGTACAAAATAATCAGGGTGATACATCTTTACATTTAAGTTTTAAATGGGGTTATTCTAGTATAGTCCAAATACTGATTGAACAATACGCAGATCCGTTAGTACATAATCGTAGAGGTCAAACTTGTTTTGATTGTGCTCATAATACTAAAATGATTGAGATGTTTTCAAACCATAAGAAGAATATTGCAGATAGAGTGAGAAGAAGTAGTATTGAAATTACATTGCAACAAAAGAATATAGGAAAAATAATTACTGCTATAACTGATGGTGACATACGTTTAATACAACATTATTTGGGCATTGATGATGAAAATCAAAATGTAAACAATTTTGTTGATATAAATTGTACGAATAGTAAAGGTTTTACTCCTCTTCACATAGCAGCAATCTATGGCCAAACTAACATTATCAAACTGTTAATTGGCTATGGAGCAAATGTTAATTATTTAACAAATTCTGAACAGTATACTGCATTACATTTGGCTGTACAACATAAAATGACTGATGCAATTGATGTTTTATTAGATTCTAAAAAATGTGATCTCAACAAACAGGATATATATGGAAATAGTGCTCTACATTATGCATGTTTAACTGGTGATGCTAATATAATAAATAAGCTACTCAAACGTGGTGCTGACTACGGAGTGATCAATAACAAATTCACAAGTGCATTAGATCTTTTAAACAAAAATCCAGAGTTAAGGTAAATACTATTAAATTTGTTCAATTTTTATATGTATCTGTTAAATCGTTTTGTAAATATAAGCTTATTATAATTATTTTATTATTTTATAATATATAATATATATAAGTGTAAATATTGTAAACCAACATATTTTCGATTGTAAAATAAATAAAATATTGTGTTTAGTTGTTAATTTAAATTTAAATTAAATATATATATAAATTAAATTACAATTTAATGAAAAGGATTTTTTTCCTAGAAACTAAAAAATCTGTTTACCATTATAGTTGCAAGATTTTTATTAATAACAATAATACGCTTTTTTAATTTTTCTTTGTATTAATGTTATTATTATAAAACTATTGCATAATACACAAATTATTAAATTTAAATAAATAATTATTACATATTAAATCACAACTCTTATAATCGAGGGAATTTTCTGAACAACAAAAATATTAATAAAGTGTAAATGTTCAATATTTTATTTGTTTCAGGAATTTGATTTCTACTACAAAAAAAAACAACCTGATATTAATAAAATCAAATAAATCATTAAGTCTTCAAATAAAAAAGCTATATATTGTTATAAAATAAATTTTTTTATTAAATTCTACTTATTCATTTTGAACTGTGTAACTAATATTTTATCATATAATTTATGTTTATTTAATAAAAAAAAAATAAAAACATTATTTAATTTATTGGTAATTATATATATGTTTATATGTATATAGATTTACGTTAACAATATTTATATATTTCTTAACACAAATCAAAAATGTATTTTTCATAATATTTGTATTGTTTATATAACAAATATAAGACCGTGCAATAAAATTAAGTTTAGTTAGGATATGTAATTTATATTATTTATTATTACATAATACATATTAATGAATAATTCAATATATTTAATATACTGTTATATTTGTTGTATAAATGTTAAGTTTATCATACTGAATGATCTTTTTGTTTAAAAATGAATGTACTTAATTAATTTTAATAATTTAACATTATATTCCAATTTATTTCCATAATATTTACCTAAATTCTATATAGATGTTCTAATGTTCCTACATTAATTAATAAAAATAAAAAATCTATTCGCACATCAAAAAAATATGTATTTAATATATTTTAAAAAATATTGACAAACTGTTAAATAATATGAATTCTTATTTTTTTATATTGTCATTATATAATGATAAATTACTATACATTCATAGTATTTAACAAATAGATGTTTGCCAACATTTTTATTTAAATTACACTGAGTTTTATTATCTGTCCAGAAAACTGGTTCCAAGACCATGTGTGCCTATCTAAAACATTAATTATTTTAAATATGGATCAAGAAATATGTTATGGAGCACTGAGAAAGTCTTATTTGAAAATTATTAAAGCACATTAAGATAAAATGTTTCTTAATAAGTAATAACCAGGGTTCTTAAGTTTATGCCTAAATAAGCATGCATTTATGCACTTGAAGTTGGCAAAATATGCTTTGAAATTAAAAGTTAAAAAATATGCATTTATATGCTCTAAATATCTAACATTATGCACTTCTATCACATCTAAAAAATGCTTACTTAAAAAAATCATAAATAATTTTTGAAATAACATGAACTATTCATTCATTTTTTTTATAACTATATTTTATTTCATTATGTTAATTAAAAAAAATAGAGTTTAAATACTATTTAATACTATTCTTAAGCCTTCATGAACTGCGCATAATGTACGTCTTTGTCAGTAGGTAATTCATTTTAAATGTGAAACTTTTGAAACAATTTTATTTATTAAATGTACGAGTATCAAGAAGATAAAAAAAGATAATACAATTTCTATTTTTAATTTTATATATATTATCCATTTAAATTTTCGATAGATTCTAATAGAATGTTGTATCTATAATATGCCCGACAAAATAAAAATATGCATAAATATGCCAAATATGCAAAAACATGTAAAATGATTTCACATATTTAACAGTGGTACTTTGAAATAGATTTCTATGTCATCAAGTATTAAATACAACTTTGCAAGATTGATAAGCAAATGCATGAACTTACGAACCTTGGTAATAACTAATAAGTGTTGATCATTGACAGAGGAGACTAAATGTATATTATGTATTATAATTTAAATTCAATCTCTTCTGTGCTTGAATATTTGTTGTAGGTCATGTAGTATTCAATTATTTTTAAGAATTGAAAATTATTCTTAAATACGTCTAGGGAAACGTTTAGGTTAGATGGGTTAACCAAGGTTAATACCATAATTCGCTCCAACGCCACCAACTATAATCATCAGGGTTGGGATTTTATAGCACTTAAAATTGCATAAATATGTGTTATATTATTACCTTAAAAATCGCTAAATAAGCTCTAAAAATATGCAATAAAAACAAAAAAAAGAAATTTATTATTTAATAATTTTATACGAGCACACGAGACGAATGTGGACTGTATAAAGCGAATTCTATACTCGTTCATTGATAATTGGCTATTAGTAGATTTAATAGAAATCGACAAAAAAAACCAACAAAATCAGCAGATAACAAAAATTAAAACCAAATAACTAAAATGAAATTATTGTATTATATTATACCTACCTATATATTATCGCTGTAATTGTACAGAGTTGCATCAGCGTAATCGGTCTATTTACTTAATCTATACATTTATAATTTAATTTAAAATTAAAATTAAAATTTTGAATCTTGAAAATTCGATTAACAAAAATCAAAAAACACGTTTACTAAAATAAAATTTCATAAAATATGCCCGATTTTAATTAAAACAAAGGTAAAAGGCAAAAAAGTCTCAAAAAATCCCCAAAAAAGCACAATAAACTAAAAAACGCAAAATATGAAAAAAAAGCAAAATAAAATTTTTTATTTGAGTTCTCTATATCATGAAACATATTTTTAGCTTACTCTGCTATTTTTTAAGTATCATAAGAAATATGAAATCCCAACCTTGATAATCATAAATGCATTTTTACTAGAGAGCTCTTCTCAAAGACTTCTTTCTAAACCAGCTACTTAAAATAGTAGGCTGCTTGTTTCAGCATTTAATCATCTATAATAATTGTAAGTAAAATGTAACGGATTGCACTCCAAAGGTATTTGATCGACAGAAAACATATTTTCTATGTTATATTTTTGATTTGATCACAATATTCCGTTTCAAAATTATTTGAGTAATTCATAGTTTTGATATTAAAATCGTCTACAGGTGCACCTGTGTTCTTCTGTTTTGGCGAATCAAAGACTACGTCTTGTTTAAAACATATAAATAATAATAATATATCTTTATAGATATGTCTAAGTTTACAGTAATAAACACGTTGGGCGAATAGATCATAAACACACTCACGAGCAAATATTCTGAAAAGAGATTTAAGCGGCATAAAAAACCTTAAAAAGTTCTGTGCCCACAATATTCGGAATTCTACAAACTCACGTGCAAACACATGCGTATTACGTAATATACATATCGATACGATGCGTATTGTATATAAATTGAATGAGATATCGTAATTTAAGCATAGTAGTATACATGGGTTGGTCATTGATAATTCTCATCCCTAATCTATGTTATCAATAATATTCAGATTTGTTTGATAACGCATACGTGCGTCATAACATATACAGTACGTTGTGAAATTCACCAGACGAACGAATCGCAAACGTTTCATTCGTCTGCCTATTGCATTGTTTTTTTTGTTATTTAGTTTTTGGGTGTAACATTAGAAAATCTTGATGGCCATAGTGCTATCATGTTTCAAAAGGTGCTTCGACGGCATCAGATACACGGAACATGTGTCGTTTCCACAAATCAACCCTATATGTTTAGATACCAGCCGAATGGGTAATATTATTATGTGGCCATCAACATCGGTATTGATTTACTTTTTAATAATTGTATGTCGCCAGGTAATGAAGTAGTAATTGTAAAAAACGGTACTAGAATATGCGGCAGTGGTGGTGTCTTGTGCACTGCGCCAATTGTTCAAAATAAATGTTATTTTGAAGTAAAAGTACAGCAATCTGGTAATAGAAACAGCTGTGTACATTTTTATTTTTTATTTATAAGGAAAAATGTACTGTTTTGTTTTAATATGATATTGTGTCTAATTAGGGATCTGGGGAGTAGGTTTAGCTTTGAATGATGTAGATCTGTGTAAAACACCAGGTGGTCACGATCCATATTCTTGGGTGTTGTGCAATGATGGAGCTCAACGGCACAATCAGCAAGTGTTAAAAGCAATAGATAATACCATTGAAGAAGGAGACATAATTGTAAGTTCTTAATCATATGTATAATAAGGTATTTTTTGTTATCAATCAATCATAATGAGTTTTTTTAGGGTATCTATTATGACCATGTAGAATTAAATTATTCAATTAATGGTCAACCAGTTAATGAACCTATTACAGGAATAAGAGGAACTGTTTTCCCAGCTCTTTTTGGTAAGTAATCATAACTTCCAAGCAAATGAATTTCCTATAGTCTCATAAATATTTTTAGTATTTAAATTTTAAGAGTAATTTATATCATATAGTAATTAAATGCACTTGTGAGGAAAATTATAAAACCAAAAAATTAATTTATCATAAAAAATTAAAGTAAATGTTATTTAAAATAATACTCAACCATTTTTTAAAAAAATGATAAAAAATTGTTAATTTTAGTTTTGAATAAAAAAATAATTTTGTATAGTACCTGTGATTACTAAGCATTCCTAACACCTAGACAATTTGATATAATAATATTTATAAATAAATGTTATTTTGTATATTGTTAAAATCAAACGAAATTAAGTATGACATAATTCACATCGCTTCTAACATATTTGATATATAATTATACAATTTTTATTTTTCAGTTGATGATGGTGCTATTCTAGATATTGTGCTGGAAAAATTTTCATACCCACCTTCTAACGGTTATGATAAAATTATGTTGGAGCAGTCTATACTTTAATTAAATATTGCTTAAAAATAATAACATATAATCATTATTTTAAATAATTAATCATTCCATTTATCATTCCATAATAATTAAGTATTATTTTAAATTTTATAATTTTTTTTTATAAATTTGTTTATTTTTTTGTATTTTAATATATTTTTAAGTGTGTTTGTAAAGTTATAAATAATATATAATTATACTAACAGAATATTTAGAAGGTTCATTTTATTAGTTTGTATTAATATTTAAATATTTATCAAACATTAAATATAGATATATAAAACTTCTTATTTTATTTAATAGTAATTAAATAATCCCCAAAATTTTTTTTTTAATTGTTCTATTAAAAAGAAAAAAAATCAATGTATACTCTGTGCCTTCTAACTGTTCTTAGTTATCCTAGAACAAAATGTTTTAATATTATATTTACACATATAGATGTCAGTCTACTAATAGAAAATATTAATAATAATCAAAGCTTAACATTATAACAGTTGTGTCTTTTCAACAAAAATCAATATATTTTATCATAGTGTTAATTGATTATTGATGAGTATTAAAAAGTGTATTAAAAGTCAACTATTAAAAATTAGAAATGTATGTAGAAATTCATCTTTCATGTGTTGTATTAATTTGTATTAAAAACTAGTTTTAACAAGATGCAACTTATTTTATATAATGTACTTATGACTTATATATCTTTAATGGCAAAGACTGACTACATCGGACAAACTATGTATTGTTTATTTTTTTCTTAATTTATAATTATTTAAAACTGTTAGAATACATAACATAATATGTTTAGCATATTACATTTTATAATTGCATGTAATTAAACTTGTATAACATATTAATGATGACCATGTGATGTATATTTTTATTATATTTTGATGTAATGTGATATTAGTCAGCTTTGAATGTTACATTATCCCAACAATTTAAAGAATTATCGATTCTCTAAAATAATTTATTAATGCAGTTTGTTAATATTATATTTGTTTTTCTTCTTTGGTTTTAAATTATTGTGATTTTTCTAAATTATATTTACAACATTAAAATATTTAACATAATATTCAATTATTGTATATCATGAAAAAGAACAGTAAATTAAATGGATTAGTTTTTTTATTAAAATATTCATTAGAAGTACAATAAATGTATAATACATATTATAAATAAATATAATTTATTTTGTGTCAACTTATACTTAAACAATGTTAACATTCTATATTTTATGCTTATCAAATTGACACTCATATGGACACATAAATATATAAATATGATCAACTAATTATTATACACATGACACTCATTAAACATATTTTCTTCTAATCAATGTATACAATATAAAAATTATTAAAATATGTCAAGTTTAAGATATTACATTTTAAGATTGTCAACTTATTGTGTACATATAACTAATACATACAATTTAATTTAATGTATAAGTATTTAACTATTTCTATAATATAAAAACAAAATATTTATGTAATAATTATATTCGAGAATATATGAACAAACTATTTAAACATTTATGACTATGATTTTCTTAAGGTGGTTGGTTGACAATTAAATTGGACTATCAGGTAAAAAAGGTTTTGAGTAGGTTACAAAATTGTAAATAGTTTACATTTATTTTGGTTAACATTAATGCACAGTCTTGTAAACAGTTATATTTGATAGTTAAATTATGAGTACATTATAATTCAAATGGTAACTCAGAACATAATGTAATAATTGTGATTTAATGGATTTTTTCATCTGATATGTATAAATGAATTATTTGAATGATAAAGGTAAGTTTATAATGTGGAATGGCCAAAAATCTAATAACATTTTTATTATTTATAACACAAATTAAGGGTTTAATAAAAATGGATATATTACTGTTAAAAAGTATGGTATTCTAAGTTCTTAGAAAAAATTAATTAATTATTTTTTCTAATGATATGATATAAAAATATTTATTTGTAATTTAGTGCAATAACTAAATCATATTTTGAAATATATAAAAATTATTATGTGATGATAATGATTATTATTTGAATATGAGAAATTTAATATTTTGATAGCAGGAAATAACACTGACATTTTTTTTCAAGCATCTTATACAATAGTTGGTTAATGAGACAATCAGATGTAAATAGAAAAATATTTAACAACCATGTATTTCCAGAGGATTTTAAATTTTTGTGCACAAACTATTTATAATTTTAATATTTATATATATTAATGAAAGCCTCTTATTTTCATTTAAACTGACCATTTTATCCACACAATTGAAATGAGATTATCATTATTGATACTATCCATTATTAAGCTATATTTCACCTCTTTAACTCCTGTTTTGTCTATTTATAATATCTAACAACTTGTTTCAGCTACACAATGATCAGCAAAGTATATTATTGTTACACATGTTACCATAAATTTTGTATTCTAACATAATATTTAAACTTAATTATCTCAAATAAACTTTATTTATTGCATCATAATAATAATATTTAATTCTAATAATAAATATAATGCTAAATTAAGCATAGCAACATTTTTTAAACAGATACAATTATATTTACTAAATAAATTAATGTTGGAATGGTTTTTCAATAATATATGGGGAATATTTTTTAAAAAGAAATTACTAAATTTTAGCTATGCTTAATTTAGCATTATATTTATTAATAGAATTTAATATTATTATTATAATGCAACAAATACATTTTTTTTTTGAATAAATATGTTTAATATGTTTATTAATTTCTGAAATTAAAAACATATCTAGGAAAGGAATATTTTATTTTATTAAAATAATTATTATTTATTCTCAATTTTGATGTTTCTATAACGCAATTGGTAAAAAATGGTATTTGTTTATGATCATTTAAACTATTCAACAATTAGTACATACATACCTAAAATGTTGAGTGACTATGGAAATATGTAGAATAGGGTGATTCATTGTGATATATCATATAAAAGTAGAGCTTGGAATAATAATAATTGGTGTAATTTATATTCAGGCAGATGGATTTTAATTTATTTTCATTAATATTTGAAATTATGGCTAAAAATAGAACTCAAAGCTCATTTATAGTTAAAATATTAATAATACCCTATCATTATGATTATTATGATTAATAACTAATAATATTTACAAAATAATATGCCTCAATAACTAACATTTTAAATCCTACAAATTATAGATATTAACAGAATATATATCTATTAAAAATAAGTCCTGTTAACCAATAAGTATTTTGTAACATATTTAATATACATACCATACTTTCCAATAATAAAGAGATCAGTTTTTTTTTCATTTATTTTCATTTAATAAATAATGTTAATGCTACGTATAGTTTACCTCATTGTCAGCAGCTTCAGTCTCTACTTCTTTTTCCCAGTCAAATGCAGTTTGGCTTGGTAACTGGCCTAGATGTGCCCATCGTTCTTTGAAATTTGAGTTTTTGGTTCTTAATTTTTCAAAACGTCTGTTATGGAAAAAATGTATAAAAAAAATGATGGCATAAGTTAAGAACTATTAACTAATACAATACCGAAATAAGTGATGCTTTGCAAATTCGTATAATTCAATGTCTAATGCATTTATTCTTTTTACTTTTTCTAACTCTTCATAATTTAATAAATTTTTATAAACAGCAGAAAGAGTGGTATTGTGTTGTGTAAACGTGACTGCAAATCTTAAATTAAATGTCTCTTCAAATATGTACTGATTTAACTGAAAAAATAATTCTATAATAGTAATGAATATAAATATTTTTTTTTTAAATATTTACTTTTTGAAACTCAGTAAGTCCAAAAAATGCAATTGACAGTAAATTTCTTTTAGCACTTGCTAGCATAACTCTATCTCGTTCTTCTTGATTCATATAAGATGAGTTATAACAACCAATCAAAGATAGATCTGCCAACATTCTTGTTTGTCTAAAATATATATATATATATATTTCCAAGAACATTTTTTAATGTTCATGTTTTATTTTCATTAAAATCATCTAAACAATAAGTAATAATATAGGTAACTAAATTACCTATTAGCAGCTAAATTATAAGGACAATCTGCAAATGAATTCAATGTTACATCGGTCCAAAATGTACCATTATAACATAATGGTAACTCTTCAAGTGATGCAGTGCGACCCCCACACCAATGTCTTGACATTCTCCATGTTGCACCTCTTTGTACATGTTTGTATTCTGATAGGTAACGGCTAACTGGATCCCTCAATAAAGTAAGATAGAAGTATCTAAACATTTATATTTGTAGATTGATTAGGTATAAATGATTATTCATAACTATTATTTAGTATTTAATTACCTTCTTTTGATAGATTTTCCTTCATTTTTATCAAGTTCTGAGTCAACACATCCATTCAATTCAGTGAAATCTGCATGGAGTCCACACTTCCATCCTGTAGAATATCGACTAAAGAGCCAATTTTCATTTCGACTAGGTCTAAAACAATAGCATAATTTCCTCTTTCTTTGGCATGTACAAGGACGTTGCAAGTCTAGATCTTGGACAAGATGACGACCAAATGAAGTACCACCAGTTTTTTGTACATGCAGAAACACCATCACGTCATGTGCATTCATATCAAAACGTAATTGGTTTTCGTTCTGCATGTCATTGTAACTTACTCCTGTACCTGTATTTTTGGAACTTTTAAGGTCTAAAATAAAAGTTGTATTAATTAAAGTGAGAAAGAAAAAAAAAAAGAATTAGTATACCTACCAGACATATTGGTTGAAAGAAGATTCATTACATTCCATTCTGAATAAATTGTTGGTTTAGGGTTGTAGGACAATGAACAACGATTGTCTGAACAAATATATCCAAAGTAAATAATACCAAATAATGTCAACAACGCACAGAACATAACCAGTTTTCTCAGCGTGATACGATGGTCTATTTTTCTTCTCATTTGGATATCTTTCATCAATCGTTCGCAGTCTGACTGCTCTACTATGTTGGTGTATCCCATTTCTTACATATCATTTCATAGTCAGTCATATGGATTTTATCGGGATAGAACTAAAGGCAATTGCTGACAAACATCTTGTCCAAAAATTCCAAATGTATCCCATACATATCTACGAAATGAGGAATAATAGATGATGTTTCATCAGTATTTATTGTGTAAAAATTCAAATATTTACATCTTTAAAAAACATAATAATTGTGTTCATCTATTCAACTGTTATCACTTAAATGATAACTCAACAGTGTGATTAGTTTTAACGTTTCTTGCACTGCTTATCCCGTATTGGGTTTGTGTTTGAGCGCAATTTGCATTGACATTTTGAATGTAGTAGCTCGCCGTTCGTTACTACATCAGTACAACGCTCAGCAAAAATATTGCGATTCGTGCCACTTGTCTAGTTAAATGTTTTGTTTAAATTTTAGAGATTTTAATAGATATCACTTTTATATGAAATTCACGGTTATTGATGCACCAGCTAACTGAAAATTGTTTAATCATTTAATATTGTTTAAATTTTCATTTGCGCAATGAAGATAGTATGGATAATTCCATTATTACTGATACAGAGTTACCGTAAGTAATTTGAGAATTATTAAAATAATGAAACGGTTTTGAATATTACTAACTATATTAATAACAATATATTTTTCAAATTATTAATCTGTTGGGCTGATTGTATATATAATAATAATTTACTATTGTATTTATGTATACTAGTACTATGATGCGGAAAAGATACTTTTTTATATTACTTTTATCATATTATAATTAATTATTTATTAAATATTCTCTATTAACACAACAATATTTGAAATAACATTTGACGGCTTTACCTTACTTACTTAAATCTAATATATATACTTAAATCCTAATATATGTTTTCTGATATTGCCATATCCTCGGAATTTTAAATTTTCAATCACATTTTTCATTATTTCAAAATTTAAATAGATTATGTTAACAACAGTTTGAAGATTTAAAGTTTTTATATTTTGTAGATAAATATTTTATTTCTTCAAAACTATTCACTTTTACCAGAAATAATGTAAAAAACAAATTAATTAGAAATGTTTATAAGAGTATAAATATATATTTTTAAATTATGTATGTATAATATGTATTGGTATCATTATTCTAATTAAACAGACAACAATCAGACGCTAAGTACCTAAAACGAATTTTGGTAATTTATCGAATCCGGTAAGTGACTGTAAACATTACAAAAGGTATTTTTTTCATAAAACGGTGGAGCTTAAATTATATACTTTTACTAATAATAAATAAAATACTATTAATTTCTCATCAATTATCAAAAAAAAAAATGTTCATGATAACAATGTTATTAATGAATTAAATTTTTTTATGAAGTATTTTAAAATTAAAGATCTCTTAATTATTATTTATTAATAATAATAGTAATGAAAAAACTTGTCACATTAAGAAAACAAAATGATAAAATCTTTATAAGTATTAAACGTATAATCTTCAAATATTAGGTTTCTATGTATTTTAAAATACGTGTAATAAAAATTAATTAATATGTATAAAAATATTTGCAATTTATAATGCTCTTTATACTTTGTAAATTACTACTAGACGTATTTATACTAAATAATGATAACTATTAACGGAGACTAAGAATTTAATATTTACCCATTACTCAATTTAGATTTCAAATTTAATAATATGATTATTTATGCAAGTATTTTTTAAAGTAAATTCAGCAAACCTTCAATATGTTTTTGGTCTTATGACCGTCCTAAATAATTTTATACTTATTATATATTATATACTTTTTATATATATATTATATACTTTATTATTATTGGTATTATATATTAATTTTAGCCATAACAGTATACAAATCAATAAAGCAATTTTTAATAAATCCAAATATTTTAAAAATTTGGAAAAAATACGTAATACATTAAAAAAAAAAAAAAATTAAATAAAATATAAAAAATAAGAAAAAAATAAGTATATTAAAGAAATAATTTATTTGACATATTTATGTTTTGTGTACCTAATGGGTATTTACCAAGTTTAACTTATTGGAACTACGAGTGGTGAAGTTTATATTTATGTAATGATAATATCATGATATAATGATTAATATTAATAATATTATTTTGTAATCATAAATACATTTAAAAAGAGAATTAATTAATTTTAAGTTTGAACATAAAATCTATTAATGAGTAATAATTTTATAATGGGTAGAGTTTAAAAACAATGTAGTAATTATTATATTTAATTATTTAAAACCATTTTACTTTATATATATATAAATATATATCATAAATGTAAACTTATTTATAGTAAAATTAATATAAAATATAATGCAACAATAAATAACGTAAATAACATACCATTAAGATGATTTCTTTTTTACTATGAAATATACTACTGAATACTATGCAATCACAACACACAATGCAATTAAACACAAACAAAAAATGTATTAAGCATAGTTTGACGCAAAATGACGTTTATACTGATTGAAGGCAGTAATTATTAACCATTTAGCTGTAAGTACATATACATTGTTTAATAAATGATGATACGAGTTCATCACTATAAGATCATTTGAGTTTTAATAATGATGAATATATGTTATGCACTATATGTCTACATATGTACTTAGAACTTGCATAAGTTTGAATGGTTTAATTTAAATTTTGGACAATTATTAAAAATTATTAAAATAATCAGTGTTGTGGTGGAGCATGTATAGTATAATGACTTCTCGTATTGCATATAAAATAAAGGTACTCGTAAAATATTGTTAATTGTATGTTTTTCGTATAAATTTCGTTTTGAATATATTTCTAAAAAGTTTTCAAAACGTTTCTTTGTTTTCATGCAAATTATAAATATCTTTATTACATTTATAATTATTATTATTATAATTATGATCATTTTACATTTATTTAACATGTATAATGTACGGAAAGAAGTTAAGAATTATATTTTTAATTTAGTGATTAGAGATATATTATTTATTTATTTAGGTTTAAACAGGATAAGAATATCAATTTTTCGTAAAAAATTTAATGAAAATCAATTAAAAATATATATAATTACTAAAAAAATATTTGAACATAATTATGAATTAACAAGCATGAAATGATTGCATATTTTAAATAAATTAAAATCTGATGATATGAAAAAATCAATCTGTAATTCGTTAATGGTTTTCATAATTTTACTGTAGGGGATTTTACTAGCATAATTAATCACTTCTGTATTAGGATGGAATACATTTTTAGATTTTATATAAAAATTAGGAATATGGATTGGAAATTTTATTAAAAAATCAGAACAGTTTTATTACCATAATCATCAATATTTAATCACATTTAATGTATTTTAATGACAATCGATATCCAGTAAAAAGTGAATTAAAACTAATGAAATTACGACAGAAAAAATAAATTAAGAAACCTTCACTAAATATGACTTTAAATAGTCAGTCCGTAAAATTCTAAATATGGTTTTAGTTATTTAATATTATTCGTTATTTTATGTTTTTTATTATGTTTAAGATATATACACTTATTTATTTTACCAATTTTTTTCCACACATTCTTACCATGTTTCATCATATTTCCATGTAACAAAAAATTATCTGTTGTTCCGAGCTGTGATACTATAAATATATTTTAGACTAAAAACATGTCTTAAGACATTATAATTATAATGTATTAAATTTATATGTATTTTACGAATTCAGTGCCGCAATTACAATTTTGAGGCCGAGGTGCAAGAACATTTTAGAGGTCCTTCATCATTCTTTAATCAGCTTAAATATACCTTAGGAATATAGAAAATTTTATAAAAACAATATATTCAATTACCTCACAGTTCAGGTTTTAACGATAGTACAACGCTGCATTTAAAATCATGCGGAACCGTGTAAATATAATATGTATAATATTTGCGGAATCCAAGACTCCTAATACAAACATTTTAAGGCCCATTTTAAAGCCGGCACATGTAGTAGTTACGACACTGTACGAGCACTAACAAAATATGATTACTTACGATTGAAACCTTATTAAAAGACAAAATGGAATAATTTATAATTGAAACTTATTTGTTGTATATTAAATGAACAGGTACAATTGGTTCCCATTTACAAGAAGAATACAATCAATACTCATTTTACCAGAAGAGACCTTTAAGTCCTCGACCATTGGATGCAATGGCAGATTTAACCAACGACCTTGGAGTTTGTGTCTTGCGGGTATGTAACAATGTAATACTTATGTTTTGAAAACCGTGACGGTTCACTAGCCTGGCCGAAACGAATAATAAAAAAAATAAATATCATCATTTCCTTTAAATTATATAAAAGTATTTTTACTCCTAGAGAAGAATCCAAACAATATCAATTTTAAAAATATACATATTTAAATTGAATTCAAGGCTAAATTTATATTTAATAATAGGTACCATTTATACGTATATATTTCACAAATAACAACGCGATGTGTATATTATCTTATTATAGATACCTATATTTATGATGGTCAAATTTATGTTTATAGTTTAGTATAACACTATATATGTAATTGAAACAATTTTAATTTTAAATACGCTTATCTTTTAACTTAATTTTTTTTAAGTGATGGATAACAAAGAAAACTTCGTTACTATTACCATTGCCATAACTATTTATATTTAGATACCACGTTTAAGGATATATGATGTATTAATATCTGTCGTATCTATAGATGTTTATATTTATGTATAAAGTGGTACAATTGAATCAAGTATAATTTTATCTAAAAAAATCCAAATTTGTTGATAAAACTATCAAATATTCTCCATCATTATTTCAGTATAGTAAACTATATTTTAGGTAATAGCTGCTGGTGGTGCCATAGGAAATATTGCGTTTTCTCCATTTGGTTTAATGGCAGTATCAGTTCTTCTTTATGAGGGATCTAGTGGATATTCTGCATTACAAATAAAACAATCTCTTAATTTGCCTTGGGAAATCCTTGCTGTCAGAATTGGAGTTCGGGATTTAAATCGTTACCTTAAAGTAAATAGTTATATATTATTTTTAATGTTTTTTAAGTAAAAAAAGTTTCAATATTATTCTAGACATATTTTAAAAGTGATGGCTTTTTAAACGGCTTAACAATGAGCAGGGAGGAAGTATGTCTCAGGCCACAGTTCAAACGAGTACTAAGACTATATGGTTTTGATGATCCTAATAGTTTCTTGGTCGATTCTTGTCCTGAAAACCCGTCAACAACGATGCAACCTATATCTGTCACTACACATGGTACTGTAGTTACAGAAATGACTCCAACTAGTCAAACCATTAAAATTGCATTAAATACCACAACTGGATCAGCTAGTAACACGTCAACGGTAGCAACCAAAACTCCCGCAAAAGTAACTTACCTAGGCGATGCAAGTTTCACTATATCTAATATCGATACCAACACTAATTTACCGATGAATTCCCAAACAGTCACGATGGTTGTTGATATTGAAACACAACCATATATAAGGCCAATCGAATCGACAACTAATCAAGTGGAGAGTACAGTTTTAACCGATAAACAAGAACCCAAATCGACTTATGAAATTAATGTGACAGATACAAAACCAAACGAATCAACAGCGACTGAAAAACTTGTTATGAGTACAACACCAATCATTTCAGATGATACCATGATGCAAGCAGCAGCCACGGTGACACAATTTAATGTGGATTACACTAGTAATACAAAGGATTCACAAATGGATAAAGTTATTGATACAATATACAATAATAGTGAATCTCGTACTAGTCCTACGGACATTTTTACTACGCGGTCATACGAGAGCACAACTGATACACCCAATACTTCAAATGTAGACGATTTAAATGCAAAAGATGATACTGTTTTATTAAATAATTACGTTGCAACCGTAAAAATAAATTCTGATAGTACTATTGCATATACAGAAAGTACGATGAAAACCACCATTGAAAATGAACTGAAAGATTCAAACACAATGAACGATAGAAATATTCAAAAAGAAAACTCGACGGAGTCCATGATGTCAACAACCAATGAAATAGAGACAGAAAAATATGAAATAACTGAAAGTATTTCAACAATTACTGATCAAATAATGCCATTAACGAAATCTGAATTGAATAATGACATACCAACTGATTATGATAAAAATCGAATACCTTCAACGGCTGCAACAGAAAGTCCATTCACGACTATGAGCTCAAACAACACGATTGAAAACGAAATTATAAAAGAAGCGGAATCTAATCAACACTATCATATAGCATCTTTAGAAAAGAAAAGTGCAAGATATTTAGAATCAAATGATGATTTGCCTACTTTCAACGTTGAATTCTCTATAAGAAAAGAAGATCTTCAAACCAACTGTAATCAGACGAGGAAAATAACTATTATCAAGCCTGATAGAATTTTAACCGAGTATCCAAAACATTCTGGTATTTCAATTAGGCTTAGAGAACCAAAGAAACGTAGAAGAAGACATTTGGAACAGTGTAAATTTAAAAATATATAATACGTATTACATGTTAATCCAATACATATTATGAACATTGTTCATTCTTTTTATTTGTCAACATTTTTAGATCAAGGACGCAACGAACATTACAATCAATGGTTCAATAAATACAAGACATATCCATATCCATCTGGTTGGATGGACAGGTCATCAAATCCATTCGAGTCTACTAATTTGTTCAATTCTGGCTACCAACGTATCCCATTTTTCACATATACAGCTGTATTGCCGTTTGCATTTATTTTCGAGTTAAAGTCACAAGTTATCGAAATTCCCTTAGACGTAAGTATTAATTTAAATATAAAAATGTAATTCATTTTTGTGGTCCTGTTAACACATATTTATTTAATACGTTGTTTTAAATAATTGATTAAAAATAAGATTTTGCAGAGTAAAATATTATAGTTTATAAATAATATTTCCTAATATTTCTTGAATTTAAATATTTTGTAAATTAACTATGAAATTATAATTTAATTTATAAAAATGTTATGCATATTTCACAAATATTAAATGTGTAAACTAGTTCTAAGCATTAAATATTAAATTCTTCAACGTATAATATATTATTTAATTTAAATTGAATAATATACATACTGTTTTTATAGTTTATATTTATTACGTTATCATATTAACTGTATTTCATATTGAGTTTTAATTTATATTTCTATCATAGATAAAAATTGAATATTTATTTCCCGATATTCAATGATTGTTAGATATTTAGATCTGAAAGCAAAAGTAAACATTAGTTGCAAAATTCAAATCTTAAATCTAAAATGTATATCTAATTAAAAGTTTTTATTTATAAAGCTATAATTTGACTTATGGTAATTATATGGCCTACAGATTTGGGGTCCTGTAAAACCATGTAATATACTTCCTATTCAAGCCTTCAAATTAATTAGTTTCAGACTAATGGTATAAAAAAAGCTCCCTAGTTTATTACAAATGAATATTTTAATCATAAAGACCCTAAAATACCCACCACAAAAGAATGGGCAAAAACATATTATAACCGTTTTCACGCATAATAAAAGTGCCACTCGAATACTCGAATCCTTTCATCCGCAATAAGCCTTCCATATCTTTCCTTAGAAATGTTAATCGTCGTCTAAAAAGGTATTGGTATAAAGATTTGATTGATATCTAAAAGCTAAAATAAAAAACTAAATAAACATTTTAAGGTGTTGTTAGTGAACAATTTCCTCCACACATCAATCATGTACTGTAAATTATATACTTGTAACCTACTTATTTATTGTTTTAAATAACAGATTGTAAAAATATCTTTGAAAATAAAATTATCATTTAAGTATAAAAAATTTTTTTAAAAATTTAAAAATTTGTTAAAAACCACAAAAATAATTTTTAGAAGTTTAGTTTATGCTTATGTTACTAAAAAAACTAAAAAGGGTTGAAATTATTTTAGTAATCAAAAAGTTAATTTATTTAATTTAGATTTTAGAATAACTTTTAGCTTGTAAATTGTAATAACTACTTATTTCAATGTCATTTATGTGATGTATTGAGTCAATACTCAATGATATTTTATTGGCTTATATTATGTATACATAAAAATATAATTATTTGATTGCAAAGAAAATATGAAATTTATACGTGGTAAATAAGACATAATAACATGTGTAATTGTGTGGAGTTTATTATACATACGGTCAAATTAATCTTGTAATCTCCTGTCATAATTGTTACGCAAGAATAAATAGGCTAGATATAATTGTTATTATCAGAGGGTACTAGTAGTACTTAAGAATTACAATAATAATTTGTCAAGAAAAAAATTGAAAGTTAGTTTTAAACGTCCTAAAAGTAGGTGCATAATATTCATATATTATTTAAGTAAATACATAATACATATGTGCATAAGTACATAGGATCATTTATTATTTTATTGGTTAACGGTTTTTTTTTTGTTCATTTTAGGACCCAAAGTATACCCTGATGATATTGATGCCAAATCATCCAGATGGTCTATCGGAGCTGCTACTTCTGTTACCATCGATATCTTTACGCAACATACACAATTCTCTGAGACCAACTGCCATTCACGCAACCATACCGACATTTAAATACACAGCCAAAGTAGATTTAACTTCAGCTTTACAACAGGTGATTGACCGCCTCGAGATTGTTATAAAAACTCACTTGTTTTTTGTAATCAAAAAATACATATACAAATAACTTATGTATATTTATATAAGTGTGTATGTATAAGTGTGGTAATACAAATACATAAAAGGAAAACGTACGATTATGGTACATTCATTATTCGGACAAGCAGACCGTGCAATTTAGTGAATCTACTACTAGCATCTTCCTTAACTGTAGAGGTTCAAGGGCATAATAGCGTCAAAGACCCATACCAGTTTAATCATCGTAATTACATACGTTCTCATAGTTCGGATGACGAAGATATTATGGTTTTCCTACTCTGAGATGAAAATATAAAAACTGTAATAACTAACTTTAATTGTAAATAACAATTTTCATTTTTAAGCATAACGTCCACAGCTTATAGGGAAGAATCAAAGACGTACAGTTAATAATATATCAAAGTCGACTAATAGCACTGTTTTTTCAGTCTTAATCTGGTTACATGCTTGTTTGTATCTTAGGCGAAATCTAACAAGATTTTAGGATGACATTCTATTAGTCAAAGTATTTATGATTAACATGTTTTATAATTTATAGTGAATTTTAATTTGTATATGAGCATTAAATCATAAGGAAATAATAATTTTATGATTTTCTTTCCAAATAAAAAATATTCATTAGTTATGTTCATATACAAAAGATTTCTTATTAGTAGTATACATTTCAAGACGAAATCATTAAAAATTTAAAAAAACAAGATACAGATTCGCATTATAGAACTATAATCTTCCTTTGCATGTGAATTAAGCTAGAATTAATATAATTTTAATATTTTAACTTTACAATAAAAGTTCATTTAAAATTTTCTCCAAAGTTTAGGAGCAATTTAAGTGCTTTAAATTTCATACACGTAAAATCACCAATTCCTTACTCGATCCAATCAAAAAAGGTTAAATGTATTTTATTTGTTAGTACCACTTATATCTACATTAATCATTCATGTTTATTTATATACTTTTATCCTCTTTATCTTTAATATCATCTGTGCCCTGCACATAGGTTCCCATAGGGGGCGGGGCAAGACGGGGGATTTGCCCCCTGGAAAAAATTAATTGAACAGTTAATATCAAGGTTTGCAATTGAATAATTGCGAAGATTTCAGTTTTTATTTAATAACGACTAAATCGTATATAATTCTGAAATATTTTATTGTTTGCTAAGAATACATTTTTTATTATACTTTATAGTTTTTGTCTTAATTATGCCCCCCTTTGATAAATTTCCTACGGGCGCCCATGGTCCTGCCCACATACCAATTGTTAGTCATTACATTTAAACTACCTATCTTTTTTTCAATCTTCCTCTTTTATTTTATGTTTCATTATCCTAATAATTTTTACTGCCTTTGTATCATCTTTCTTGACATGTTTGATCCATTTTAACCTATTGATGACGGGTATCATATGAGTTTACATACATATATATATATACATATCCCCTATTCTAAATTTTCAAGTCACTCTCTTCCATTTTCTTGTCTATTACCAAACATTTTGATTTGTGCAATTTTGGCCGACCTTACCACTGGACATTGTGTCATAAAATCTTACTTATATTATTTAACCACTCAGTTAACATTGTAAAATATGTTACAATTACAATAATTATATTTTTTCGGTTTACAGGTCGGTATCCGAGACGTGTTCTACAGGTATAGAGCGGACCTTTCGTTCATGTCACCAGATGCAAGGCTTTTCGTCAACTCGGTGCAACAAGTTGTGTCCGTAACGGTCCAAAAGTATAACACGCCACCGGGTATGTTTGTAAAGGGTGAGGTGTGGTAGTTATTATATTATTATATACGTCAGATGAGGTATTATTGCAAGCTTGTACACAATTTATGTACTTAATAGTCTTAAATTAGTACCTACTTAAACGTATTTACTGAGATTCTTTGATAAACGGACTTTACATATAATAATTATGTATTTACCCGTGCGAAAACGACAATGTCGGTGACATACTTATATAATAAATGTATATATATTATGGTACTGTGTACACGGGTGAGAACGAGCACTGGTGACCGTGGAAAATCGTATTTATCCACCGTCGTCGTCCGTTTAAAATCGGATTCGTGGACGCGGTGGTATCCGCGGCAGTAGGAAATTGCCGAAAAAACTCTTCACGGCTAATCGCTTTCGTCCTTCGGCAGTGACGCTATTTTTATATATAACGTTATATAGGTGAATGACTAGGTATTAAGTATTTGCGCGATTCTACGCAGACCACCGGGTATCTATACAGTATACTTTACTCACACACCTATTTATAAACCAAAGTATGAAGGGGAAATAATATAATACATTATAAACAATCAAATATTGCGTAAAATCAATTTTAGAAACTGGTAAGTTTTTTAATACGCTTTTTTTTAATCAATAAATCATAAAATAATTTTTTATCTTTTACAGATATTTTATCCTAATAAATATCAATTATTTTTAGTATTTATCAATTTATACAGCTATTATATTACACAGGAAATGGGTATACAACGACGAAGTGATAAACGGTCAATCCAATCATTTCAATTATCAAACATAAATAATTTATATGATTTTTAAATAAAAAACTTAAGATAAAGGGGACTCACGTAGTATACCTATTATAATGCGTGGTGCACTTATAGCCGAGTATTTTATGATTATTATAAAATATTAACAATTACCTACACATTACACGCACTGCCGGTGTACACGGTTGTATTCGTAGGCGTAGTACAGCAACACGATTATTATATTGTATCTACATCCGGCGCAGTGTGTCTATTCACAATATTTTCTTCTCGGTTGATCGCTTAACCGAAACGAAGTAAACACATATTGTCCTCACATGCGTGCAACATGCATATATTTGCAATTGATCTTGAGCAATAGATCGGATCGATTTTTTTTTACTACTTAAAGAAACACAATTAGAGTTTAATCGGTACACTTACATTAGATTACGTCATTCGCTGTTTCGTGTATCTACAATATTTGGCCCCAAACAACAATTCTTTTCACGGCTGTAAAGAAAATCCTCTACTTGAAATCCTACCCTTTCTAGAATTTGTGTTACACCCAACTGGTTCATAAAGATAACAGCTTATCACATCATATTTAATCTTTAAAAATCGTTCGCAATTCAATTATTTCTCATGGGTTTAACATTTTGAAGTTAAATTACGATTAAATCCTCAAACGAAGTGAATTGAAGATTTTGATTTTATGAATAATGAATTAGAACTTATCTTGTAAATTAACTAGAATGAAAAACTTCTCATTGATATGTGATTTTTTTTGTTCGATTTTCAAATTGTAGTTCTCACTATAGTTGCACCATTGTGTATCTATCATACATTTATATACGTAGAAATAGACGAACCAGAACCTACCGGAGCCGTACCGAGCCATTTTTTATCTTGAGGCAGAACCGAAGCAATGCGCCCCGGTTGTAGGGTTGTCACACTCACAGCTTTTAATATGTATAATACGATTAGGAAAAATCTGAAAATTGTAAATAGGGTTCTAGTAAAACAAGAAATAATATTTCTTAAAATAAGTTAATTATTTAATACTTATGCTCGCGCCAGCATTAGGTGCCCAAAGCAAGTGCCTCGCTTGCCTCACCCTAGTTACGGCTCTGTCACCTACTTGTTAAAGAATAAATGAAATAAATGTACACATGGTGTCATTTGAATAGGAAAATAGTTTTTGTAAACAAAGTTTTCGGCTTTTCAGATTTAAAATATTAAACTTCGTTTTTACTCTATTATTAATGTTTTTAACAAAACCTTGTGTACAAATATGTACAACAGCGGTACGTCAGTGTTTTCGATTTGTACATTTTTTTTTTTTTTTTTTTTGCAACCTTACGTCGGTCATTTAGGGTCATCGAGTTTAGATTATAAATACAGATTGTCCACAAATTCCTATTGGTCAACATTGACACATATGTATATATTTTTGTAAGTATTAATTCGTCAAGCAAAAAATGTCCTTAGTTCCAATTATGCACGATAAAAGATCAAAAAATTCAAATTCTGAATATTGATAAATGACAAATATATTACACGGTATATACAGAAGAGGAAATGCAATTAGAAATTTTATAAATAAGAAGTAATCAATAAATTTTCGTGAAAAAATAACCTTCTATTTATAAATTCTCCAACCGATAACTAAGTTGTTTATTTATAGTTATTAGGTGCTAAATATATTTATTTTAACCTATTAGTTAACTAGAAACATTTATTATAGGCAAAAAATGTAAAATTAATCCGTGTCCGATACGCTGAATTACTATTGATTTAAAACAATTAGTATTTAAATTTTATTGTTATAATTTCGTAGTTCTAATACACAAATTGAATTATGAGACTATATAATTGAATATTTAAGGTAAGACGTGTCCAAGGCGAAGTTAACCATCGCATCTATCGCGGCTATACTGATTTTACGCGATTCCTATGGACTGGCGTCCAATGAGTGATTACGAATGGGCAGCTGCGATCCGCGGCTCTTCTCAGTCGAAAGCAGTGTTCAGCGATAATCACCACTGACTTGCTATTTCTATTTTAACTGTAATATACTACATATTATAAATATCATGGACAAATCATGTATTTAGTTCAAACTTTACTAAGGATAATAAATAATTGAACTGTTGACGAATGATCCAAAAAAAAAAACTCACATTTTATTATTTAATAAATATCATTTAAAATTTTTTAAAAAAACATTCATTTGGATGATTTTATATAAGTCAATTTTTATGGATTTAAGTAGGAAAATAATGTCATCCTCCTCCAATAAAAGCTGCACAATTATATTGTAGTTAACGATTTACATATTGACCATATTGAATACTACTTAGAATAGATCTCATAGTACGAGTACTAAAACCACACTATTTTGATGAGCCACAGCAGCCAGCCGCTAGTGTAGAACAGGCTGACATCAGCGACTGGCTGTGCCTAGGACAATACCTTAAGAAATTAACTTGAAATTGTTGACTAGGAATTTTACAATTTGAAAATAATAAAATTTACAAGAACAAAGAAATAAATATATGAAAAATTCACTATTATTCAAAAAACATTATATTTGAACTATATAGATTTGAAACTTAAGATATCTAATGCTTCATTATGGGTATAATAAAAAATCCTTGTTCTTTTAATAATCTACCATAGATTTTTATTAGAAATTTTATCACAAAATTATTACTTAAGTTTTAATTTTTTTTTCTCAATATTTTTCAGTTTATGAAATACAACGAATGTATGTGAAACAGGAATTTGTAGTGTCAAGACCATTTGCTTACTTTGTGATGGACATACATACTAAAGTCAGTCTTATCGCTGGAGTTATGACTGATCCATTAGCATCACCCATTTGGAACTGATAATTGGAAATTATGTAAAACAGATACATAGTTTTAGATTGATTACATAATTTTTTTTTAACTGAACTGTATAGAAAAAAATAAAACATGTAAAAACTAGTTGTCAAAAAACATTTGTTATTTAATAATGTCAGAAGAACAATGTTAATGACATAATGACAAAATAACTTTTATTTATTTGCCCTTTTTGGCCTTGATTTTCCTATGGTAAAATTCCAATTCTTTGCCTTCTAAGATGTAACCATCAGCACGTCCACATTGACCAGGTCTGCTAGCCAAGCATGCTAAAAAAAAAAAAAAAAAAAATAATAATGAATAAGTAGAGGGTTTTGTTATAACAAGTTTATAGGTATAGCTCAGCGGTCGCTAACTTTTGGACCTCATGGACCACTTAATACATACTCTAAATTCTACGGACCACTTTTAGCTTAAAATAACTTTTTACATAAATACCGTAAAATAAATCGATAAAGTATTTTACTCGTTTATATTTAACTTGTTATTTTTATTGTTTGCTAAAATGGATCTATTATCTATATAATACCATGTCCAGGGTCTTTTTTTTTGGGAAATAACTACAAAAAGATTCTGTAAATACCTAATGTCAAATTTTTCTGGGGACCATTTAAATTTTCTCATGGACCATCGGTTGGCGACTGCTGGTATAGCTAATTAATATAATAGCAATATTCAGAAAATTAAGATATACATTTCATATGAATATCATATTAACGAGATTTCTTAAACATCATAATATTGCTGAATATTAAAATAATTAATTTTTCCAAATTATTTATATAAAGGAATGAAAAATAATGTATCAAATAAAAATTCAGGGTAATTATGTAAAATATCATGTAATGGGATAGATATTATCTCCCATTTAAAAAACAACCTGTCATAGAATTTGAACACAGATTTATTAAATTACCTAAAAAGTATAAATACATTAAAAAAAAAAAAAAAAAAAAAAAACGCTCAGTGTAACTATGACAATAAATGTTCATTTGATTGACAAATATTAATCAGAACGATTAATATCTATAATTCAATATCACTAAAATTAAAATTAAATATCATCATGGCGTTAATAAAATACTACTTTCAAATAAAACCAACTAAATTCTACTCACCCAAGAGACGTGATGTTTGGAACTGTTCATCAATTGCAGGTTCAACTTTGGCGAACTTTTGTCTCTTCTTGTATTTAACCTCTGCCTTTGTTGATCGCTTCTTATTTAATACAGCATCCTCAGCATCAGTCTATGAATATACAAAATAATTATTATAACTAGAGACTAGATTTATATGCATTTAAAAAGTGTCAAATATGATGAAAATATGCAAAGAAAAATTAGCTAAATATACAGATATATGCATTATGTTACACTTTATAAAATGTGATTTATTTTTTTGAAATCCACTTTTATGCCAAATAAAATTCTATTTTATTATTAAAAAAAAAGAAAAAAATGATAATATTCACTAATTCATATTTTAAATCATTTAAATTAATCTATAACTTTTAGGAAACAAAAAAACGAAAAAAAAAAAAAAATCAAAAAATAAATATGTTACGATAATTTTAAGTTACCTACTGCCAAAAAACGAATAGAAAACTTAAAAAAAAATACAAATATTTTAAAATATTTTTGAAACTTAATTCCAATTATATCAATTCATACTCTATTCGAGAAGATTACAAAATTTACTGTTAATTAAAATAGTTAATTTATTAAAAACACATTAAATTTGCATGTTAAATGTATTTATGAACAAATATACATTAACTCTCGAAATATGCAAAATATGTAATATAAAATTTGGTGATATGAATTGTGGACATTTCAAACCTCCATAGACGTGCATAAACTTAGTACAAACATGCAAATGCATATAAATCTGGGCTCTAATTATAACATACAGGATATTAGATCTTTATCACTTATTGATAAAAATGATTCACCAACATTAAAAAAAAGCAAGACAAATTTTAGTAAAGCTACATATAGCAGATTATAATAAAATTAATTTAGTTAAATTAGAGTGCTGCGGAATAAATAATTTCATCAAGAGAAATAATTAGGAACCAAAATATTACTTATCATTCAAATTATGTTTTCATTTTTCAGCTTTTTTATTATTTATTAGTTTTGGAAAAAGTAATTAGGTACAACAAACTTTTAAAGTTAAATGATTTAGTTTATTTTAAATTTTTTCTGCCCTCAGATAGTACATGGTCATCAATAATCAGATGGCAATTCCTATCAATAAGGTTCATCATTGCAGGATATAATTGTTTATGTATGAAAGAAATTAACATCAGAGCGCTGCGGAATAAATTATGTCTTCATATGACAAATCAGGAACCGAAATATTACTCATCATTCAAATAATTTTTTAATTTATAAACATTAAATAAAGTGTAATTAGGTATTTATATACCTTTAAAGTCAAACGATTTAATTTATTTTAAATTTCTTCTGCTCTCAGATAGTGCATGGTCATCAATGATCAGACGGCAATTCCTATCAGTAAGGTTCATCATTGCAGGGTATAATTGTTTATATATGAAAGAAATTAACATCAGAGCGCTGCGGAATACATTATGTCTTCATATGACAAATCAGGAACCGAAATATTACTCATCATTTGTTATTGATTCACTCAGTTTTTACAAACAAATATAATTGTTTGTTACATTATTATTACATTACTCTCAGATAGTACACGGTCATCAACATATCAGACGGCAATTCCTATCAATAATGAAGGTTCATCATAGAGAAATGTTATTTAAGTATAGAAAAAATATCAATACAATTTTTAAATAATAAGAAAATATATATATACACATACTAATTTTGTTGTCTTTCTTCGGCCAATAGGTAAAGCATAATGACCTTCATACCATTGACGGAATGGGGTAGCATCAATTACTACAATAGCATTCTTCACCAAAGTTTTCGTTCGGACCAACTCATTGTTAGACGCATTGTAGATAACATCAATGATACGAGTTTTAGCAGAAATTCCTTAATAAAATAAATAATATAATATTAAAGTGACTTATTAAATAAATAAATTATTGTACCTTCTGAACCCCATGAGAAATTTCCTTGATCCAATCTTAATGCTCTGTATTTTTTGTTACCTCCTCGGGTTCGAACAATGTGAACACGACGAGCACCAAGCTAAAAGTTTTTTAAAAAGATAATTATAATGTACAAATATATATTATTAAAATCTTAAAACAAAATTTTTTAAGAACAAAGAAACCAATTACAAACATAGCTGATAATTTTACTAATCATTCTTTTAATAGTTTCATTTCTAAAGAATGTAAACAGATATATTATTTTTAAAATAGCTTTAACTTAGTAATTAACTAACATAATAAAAACAATCAAATAAAGTTAATCTATTTCAGGATATTAATAAGCGGATTGATTAAAATAATCACAATAATCTTCAGATAGACATCATATCTCATCATAAATAGACATAACTTATAATAATATTCCTTAGTAAAAACATTTATAATGTAAAACCAACTTAATTATAGAAAAAATAACTCAGTAATGATATGAATAAAGCACATCAGGACGTTAGAGGTGAAAATAGTAAATATCGTCATTCAATATTCAGTTATATGTCTCATCATAAGTGCATTTGCTAGGTAATTCATGATTGTAAGAATTAAGAAGTTGTAAAACAAATAAAATCAGAACATTGAAGGTGATAAAATATAAATATCTTCATAAAAATATTCAGTCTTTAGACTTTAATGCTATTTGACTAGTAACAATCAAATATACAAATTAAATAAATGTAATACCTCAGCTGCGATAACAGTCAATATGAATTGGTACACAGAGCTGATTTCTAGAAAATCCTAACATACAACCTATTATTCATGAATCACTACGATTTATTATTATTTATTTAAACTCCTTTATCAAACGGATTAATGTAATATACCAACAAATATTTTATCGGTATTAATACAAAAATGTCATACCTTGGTGTTGGCGGCCGGGCGTCCTAACTCATACTTCCTCTTCTTGCGGAGTGGCTTGCGCTTTCCTCCGGTCTTCCTACGCTTATGCCAGGTATCACGCGATATACCTTAAAACAAAAACGTAGACACATTTTAAAAACGGGTCGCCTAAGTGTTCGAGCCAGTATGCCGAAAATCGGCGATCGAATCGCTGCGTATTGCGTAGAAATCGAATTGGTCGACACGGCACAAACGGAACATAAATAATTCGGATATAAATAATAACTGGCGAGCAGGATGTAAACAGATAAAAAATTACTCACCCATCTTGTGTCTCTAACGTGAATGTGACGTTAGAAAAATGAAAAGAAAGGAACGCAGCCCCGTGAAATATAAACAAACTATGGACGACGACGTCTATTAGTACATTTAGGTTATGTCCGCACGCGTTTTCAGAGTGGGGGGCGAACGGTTCGATAGAGTATAACCATTGTTACCAATATTACCGTGGCGTGATTTCAATATGCCAATACCAATTTCGGCGAATAATATTCCGTTGTAATGCTAAACTTTTCAAAACTTCAAAAGTTTCATGTGAAATTGTTGACCCGTTGACATGTGAATCCTAAAAACATAAAATTTCTCGAAGTCGGTAAAATTTTCTTCTCTTTCTTAAATATCCATTAGACTTGTAATAGTTTAAGGTCGGATAGTGTGGATTCATTCTGCCAAATAGGCATAATATTCCGAAATGGAAAAGACAATATCTATTGGCAATTTCAATATCTTATCACACCACTAAAATAACAATAATTATACACCTGGACATTATCTTTTATCATGGTGATACATATTCCACACATTTTACTTGTGGATTTAGATAAATAGATTGTATCTAGTTTTTTTTTGTGGAAATTGTGTGCTCCCATCGTATTCACATTCCCCGGACTCTGGGGTTGTGAGTTTCTATTTAGAAAATTCTATTTTTTTTATGTTTTGATTTAAAATGCCTGTAAGTATAGCCCTCGAAACTATAAAAACTTTACTTTTTGAAACAAACATAAAGAATTGAACTGCAACTAAAAAAATTGTAATTCGTGCTATTGATTATTTTATTATATTTTTATATTTAATTTTATTTAAATATTGACAGTCAACCTATTATATTCAATATATTTTATTAAAAAAAAATATATATGTATGAAGGTATTTTGTTTTTGTCAAAAGAGAAAATTGATAGACTAGATATGAACTGTGAATCTTGCTATTTTTAAAATTGATCATATGATTTTTTTATTATTATAATTTTTTTATTGTTATATTTTTATTTTTTTAATTTACTATATGATGATTATATTAACAAATTGATTATTTGAACTTTAGATATGATATAATAAATCTTTAAATGTAATTTGTACCGATGTATCTACTTATAATGAACAATTTCCTGTACAATAATATAGAATATATATACCTTATTGAGTTCAACTATTTAAAACAATGTTAACTATTAGTTAAAAGAAATAATTGTTTATTATCAATCAAATCTACATAAAAATAAAATAAAATCCTGTTAAACGCTTACTACACTACTTCATTTCCCTTATATATAAAACCACTGTTGTCAACATAATATATAATATCAATATTGAATAATCTATTTAATGTGATCTATTTTTATACTTAAATGTAAAAATAGTAACAATTAATAATTATTTAGTTAGCTAAAAGTATACTTCATCCATCTGCAAATGATGATTTACGGTGCCATAAACTAAAGCGGCTTGTACCACGTCCTAATTCATATTTTATGGATATCAAGTGTCCTGGTAATATTTTTTACATAAATTGTTATAACAAATTCTAGTAGCTTATATTTTATTTTTTTAGGCTGTTACAAGATAAAAACTGTCTTTAGTCATGTTCATAAAAAAGTTACATGTGATGGTTGTCTAATAGTACTTTGCAGGCCTACTGGAGGCAAAGGAAAACTATCTGATGGTAAATTAATTATACTATTATTATTATATATGTAGTACATTTACAAAATATTTAATAACCAATGTATGAACTAGAAGTAGAAAATATGAATTTTCTATTTTATATTAAAAGTGTACTTTTTATTAGTACATCTCAGTGTAAAATAATAAAGGGTTTATTCAAAAAAGCATATTTTACTGATTTGACCAATAATGGGCAAATTCTGCTTTAAATTTTTTTTAGCAATCAATTGTTTAGTGGTTTTATCTTAATTTGAGTGTAGATTTGTTTTTTTTTACAGCTAATTTGTATAAATTGAAATGAACATTTTAAATTTAAATATTATTTATTTATAAAGATAATATTAAGTTTATAATTTCTTACTGCTTCTGTTTTAATTAATGTGCCACAATTTTAATTTTTAAATTATGAAATATTACTGATGAATGATGATTAATTTAGTTATGTATTTTTTACAGGATGTTCATACAGAAAAAAGCATTAAGAAATTCTTCATTGATTCAAAATAATGTTCCAAAATATTGATCCGTCAATAAATACAATTTTATTTTATTAAAATCATGTTTATATGATTTATTAATTTTACAAACTAAGTATATCTGATTTTAAATACAAATAAACAGTGGCGTATTTATGGGGAAGGTGCTGGTGGGTAACTTATTTATATTTTTAATACAACATTTTCTTTAGGACCATATAAACAGTAATATAAATGAAATAGTTAAAGAACCAGTGATTATATGTAGATGAACATTTCAATAATGATCAAGAAGTGAGTTTACCTATGTTTTTACATAATTCAATCATAGATAAATTAATTAAAATTAGTTACATAGGTGCATACCTACATAATTACATATTATTATTAAATAATTTTAATTGTTAAATGTACCTATATAGTACCTATTTATTTATATACTGAAAAAATTGCTTAGGAAATTAGTTGTGCCTATATTTGCAACTCAAACCTACTTGTTGAAAAAATTAAATTCTAATAATTTAGTTACCTACATTATGTTTTAAAACAAACTATTAAAAATTTTAATTTAATAATTACTTAGTATTTACATATTTTAAACTCTAACATGGAAATTTGTTTGTCAGTCCTTGCAAAACGAGCAGAAAGTAAGAAGTTTTTGAATAATGAAATTTAGACATCGTTTTAGTCTTGTGCTCGAATGTATAAAGTATTTTTATGTTATTCTATTTGCACCGCAGTACAACAGAAATATCTGAATATATTCTTTTAATAGTATAGTATAATAGAAATATAAAAAATTAGAAAAAATTCTATAACTTAATGAATTTAATGAATTTTAGAAATTGTTAAAATAAAAATTAAATAGGTACAGAGGTATAAAAAAAAAAAAAAAAAATGAAAATTTTCATCGGTTGAACAGCAATTGTATAAAGAAATTTTAGGCCGGTCATATCTTTCTCTGCCTGGGCGGAAGTATTCTCAGTCCGCCCCTGAACTTTGAATGGAACTTTATTTATCCCGTTTTAATCCCGTTATTGCCATATTATTTATTATATAAGTAATAAAAGCTTGTAAATAAAATATCTATGTATGAAAAAATTTAAAACAGTTTTACTCGTATGTTTAAAATGTGAAACCAAAGTTAGAAATAATAGATAAAAATTTTTGTGGAACGAGAATCAGGTCCTGATGCCGACAAACTATAAAATTGCCAATTTAATAATAATTAAAAGAAAATATTTTATTATTTAGGTTATTTTACTAAAAAAGGGTAAAGTAAAAAGAAAATAATTGTTTATGATATGACAGAGACTTTGACTTTAACTCGCGAGATTTGTGTGCATATGTGTGAATTTTTGAGGATGAGGTTTTTTATTTGGGGGGGAAGTAACAGCTGTCCCGTTCTTTTATTTTCTTAATATGGTCACCCTAATCTATGCGCAACATAAAGTAATCTAAAGTAATAGGTACCAGTTGCTCGCATGGTCGAGTCATCCCATGAATTTTTTTCAACAGCTTTTTTGTGTAAATGTAGATCATTTCATAGAAATTATACTATAAAACAAATAACAATAATTTTGTTACAAAAATGATTTTTATTTTATTTTAACACAAAATTATATGGATCACCACAACAAATTGTTCAATAATAAATTAGATCAGCGATTCCCAAACTGTGCATCGCGGTGCTCTAGGGGCACCATGACTATTTTCTAAGGGCACCGCGGTCTACATACAGTTCATAACAAATAGTTTAAAATGTATAAAATTGTTTTTTCTTATGGTTTTCGTAAAAACTTCATAGCGAATAATGTAATATTTTCTATTGTATATTCGGATACTCTCATTTTAACCTTATAATAATTTTATGTAATAATTATAATCATAATAACAATAATTTTTATTTATTTATTTTTTAAGTTTAAAAATGCATTCATTTATAATTAAGTTAAATTTTAATAAAATTAATAAAATTGGTTATCAATAGGTTTTTTTTTTTGTTCTGAAGTTCACAGCAGGGTACCGTAGGTAAATTGGGTCCAAAGAAAGGTACCGTTGAAAAAAAAATTTGGAAACCGCTGAACTAGATAATAAAACTGATCAAAATTAATTTTATTCGATCATTAGACGTTTCGATGAACTAGTTCATGTTATATTGATGATCAACAAAATATTGTGACAAATCAAAAAAAAATACAAAATTATTGTTATTTTTTTTATAGTTTAATTTTATGAAATGATCTACACAAAAAATGTGTTAAAATAAATTCATGGGATGTATTTGCACACCCTTGCATCCCACAAATAACGCCATTGCTCAAAACATTAGATTCTGAGAATGATTTAGAGCAAGCAATTTCTTCATTAGAGCTAATTAATTTTGAATCAATCGAAACAGAAGTAAGTGAAGATAATATTTTAGATCAGGTCTCAACTGCAAGTGAAAATAATATTTTAGAGCAGACCTCAATTACAAGTGAATCAGTATTAGAAGAAATTACAATTTTTCAAGATAAAATAAATAAAAAGCTAGCTGTAAGTTAACATCACCAAGCAAAACGAATGAAAACTGATAGTATCTTGAAGTAACCAATCGTTTCAATCGGTACAAATGTAACGTTACCTGTACCAGATGAAAATAGAAGTAAAGGAAATTCGAAAAATATCATAGGTAATACATTATTTTATATTTATAAATAATAATCATAATAGTAAGTGATGTACTTTCATTTATTAGGTGTTATAATGGAAGTAACAACGGGCGACTTGTATAAAATTGGTACTAAAAATGGCATTATTGTACAACTTGTAGTCGTAACCAATTTTCATCTTGTGATGGGGTAAATATATTAAATATAAATGATATACCTACTGATAAAATTTCTCTAAGAGCTGCAAATATAAAAGAATCAATGTTTGAAGGACAAGGTTTTTTTAAATGTTTTTGTACACGTAAACGCTATAATAATAAATGTATACCTATGTAAAGTAATATGCAACTCACGCTGTCATAAATCACTTGATTATAAAAATAAATAATGATAGAGTATATGTAATAAATAATAATATTTGATTTTAGTAATATGTAGTTGTATAATATTTTTTTTATACGAAAAATTGTAATTTATATAATATGTTTTTAAATGTTGTGATTTGTACAATGATTGTATACATTTCGCAATTTGTACAGTGATTATTGTACACATTGCGAATTGTATAATGAACTTGTACAATTCCGGACTTTGTATGTAACATATAAATTGATTGTGTCAAAATAATAATTTACAATAAATCCTTGCAATATTTTTTTGTTTCCTTATAATTTCCTTACATTAAGAACACTATTTTATACAATTTTAAAAAGACCTATGGGGGGGGATCTGACCCCCACATCAGGGACGGGTTTTATCACTAACCAAGGGAGAGGCTAATGGAGGCTTAAGAATTTAGTTAGTTGGTTTTTTAAATCTATATAAAATTTTAAATTACAGAATATGTTTTTGAGTCCCTCGTATGTAAGTAATTTTTTTCACAATAATGACAAAGTTTAAATAGTTAAATTATTGGTATCAATTTTGATCTGAAACCATTTTAAAATATAGGTAAATACATATAATTAACTAGTGTATTTTATAAGGAATTTTCACTGGGCGACAAAAAAATGTTTTTCTCAAAATAGTCAATGTAATACCATAGTACGATTATAGTCTAACACGTTTGTTTCGCATTATTTCGCCCTATCTTTCAAAATATTGTCGACAGAGTATAATCATTAGGCGACATTTTGTCGCCTAGTTAACTAGTTAAAAATTGCATTGGAATCAACTACAAAAGTGAGCTATTTATTTATAAAAAAAATATATATATAATAGGTACCATATTCATCAATGACCATCAATTGACGATATTTTAATATAATTTTTAATATACCTATAATAATACTTTGCTTTGTAAAATAGATAGCTTAGTCCCAAGAGGGGGGACTTATGCCATCTAAGCCACCCCCTTAAACTGGCCCGTTCCCCACATTCTCCCTTGTATACGCCCCTGGTTCAATAAAAACTCCAACCGATTATGCGCCATATTATAGTTTTCAATAATACAATATTTTTAATTGTAGGCTTTTAAAATTTACTAATTAACTTTTAATAAATAAATAAATATTTTTTTTGCATATTTCACATTTTTTCATGCATATTTTGCCTTTTTGACTCTTATAACATCCGAACCCTAATAGTGAACATTTTTTTTGAATTTTTATCTTAAATACAGCAGTGGTGCCAAAGTGCTTGAAAAATACTATGATATTGTGCATCAAGAGACCATTCACTACCATATTTATTTTTCTTTATAGTTAAAATTCTTTATACATAACATTCTGTATCCACGGCCAGAATCCAATACACAAAGGTGGGCCCCCAACCTACAAAATCTAATATGACATCTGATGTACAGTATATGCGACCATTTTACTTTACATGATTATTTAATTTTTAAATTATAATCATCTTAAATTAATAATTTAACAAATAGTATTATTTTTATATCATATAGCAATATCAGTACCTAAATCATGCAACATCAAAAAAATATTATTTGTAATTTATAGTTTTATCATTGTTTAATGGGTTTATTAAAAAAATTTCCAAATCAGCTCACATAATAAATAATAATTTATTACTAGTCCTGTATAGGGGTTAGGTTAGATTAGATTAGGTATATAAATTAAAAAAATAAAAACCTTTAAATATACATTTTATTTACATGGTTATCTTTTAAAATATTAATATATATATATATATATATATATATATATATATATATATATATATA